TCCCCTCTTTTAGTTTAGAACCATCACCCCTTGTGCTATCACTACCTGCTGACGTAAAAAGTGACTCATCATCTTTTTTCCAAGTCCCCTTTAAACACCAGAAGGCAGCAATAAGGTCTCTCCGGAACCTTCTCTTCTCTATGCTGAACAACCCCAGCTCTCTCAGMCTTTCTTCATAGAGAGGTGCTCCAGCCCTCTGAGCATCTTGTGGCCTCYTCTGGACAYGCTCCAGCAGGTCCATGTCTTTTTTTTTTTGCTGGAGGACACTAAACCTGGACACAGTATTCCAGGTGGGTTCTCAGAAGGKCAGAAGAGAAGAATCCCCTCCCTTGCCCTGCTCACCACACTGCTTYGGATGCACCCAGGATATGGCTTTTTTTCTGGGCTGTGAGCACATATTTATAGCTCATGTCCAGCTTTTCATCCATGAGAACCCCCAAGTCCTTCACATGGGACCATGTCAAAAACCTTACAGAATTCTAGGTAGATGACGTCAGTCTTCCCTTGTCAACCACTGGAGTCACTCCATCCCAGTAGGGCACCAGCTTGGGCAGGCAGGATTTGCCCTTCGTGAAACTGTGCTGTCCTGTCTTGGATCACCTCATTGTCTTGCATGCCTTTTAACACTGCTTTCAGGAGGATCTGCTCCATKATCTTCCCAGGCATAGAGGGAGGGCTCACAAGCCTTTAGTTCTCTGGCTCTTCCTTTCTCCTCTTTTAAAAATAGGAACAACATTTCCCTTTTTCCAGTCACTAGGGAGTTTGACTGACTGCCATGACTTTTCAAATATCATGGAGAGTGGCTTGGCAACCATATCAGTCAGWTTCCTCAGGACTTTGGGCTGCATCTCATCAGGCCCCACAGACTTGTGCCTATTCAGTTCCCACAGATGGTCTCAAACCTGCTCTTAACTTACAGTGGGAGGGACTTCACTCTCCAGCCCCCACCTAAGCTCTCACCCAGCTGAGACTTATCCCTTCCAATTCAAATTTTTGAGAATTCTTTAGGAAAATAAAGGATTTTAATTCTAGAAGTTTGCTTCAAACTTAACATTTAACTTAATTCTATTCTAAATGTATTAACATGGCAATTTCTGCACTGTGCAGTGGGTTAAAAAACAAAAATTAAAATGAGCATTAGCTCAAGGGGAGGTTTTAAAACAATGTAAATTTTTCTGTGCCTCTCTTTGCAAGATTTACATCTGTTCACYGAGAGGATGTTAGCACTATATTCAACAGTGTGCTTGTAGTATATATGCACAGGGAACACCTGTAAAACCTTTAAATAAATTTGCTTAGGGACTAATAATAGACAGAAAAACATTAGAGTATTTACCTTGAGCCTCATGTGGGTTTTGATTGCTGCTGCCTCTACATTGTTTCTGGAACCTAAGATCATTTTTTTAAATTTAAAGTTAACTCAGTTTTTTACATATGTATGTATACAAACATGTCAAACACACCACACTTGTACGGGTACATCTCTTCCCTAAGGAATCACCCTTACTGACTGTGATGCAGACACACCTTCAGTGGTATGAAGCAGGAATTCCCCCAGAGAAGTCTGTGGGCTTATATTACTATGCAAAGAAAAGATGAGTAACCTGAGGTGAACCAAAAATGGAAAAAAAAATCACAACCTAAAACCAGAACTTTAAATTAACAAACTTAGGAGGGAGAATATGTGCTAGTAGAGCTGGCGTCTCTAAGAATACTGGCCCTAGCATCTTTCATCTGTCACTAAAAATTAACTTCATAAAAAGTGATCTTAGGAGGGATCACACTGCAGTGCCTGGAGAGCTCTCAAAGGAAGCACATGCTCAACGGTGTGATCACAGCAAAATGACAATGGTGTGATCTAAAAATAAATTGGCTCTGTGCTCTGAAGCTGGTTTCTCCCACAGATGCCCAAACCAGAGCCTCCAATTACTGCTTTAAGGGCTAGGCAGAGAAATAAACAATCTGTGGATGGCACTTGTTTTCTGTGCATCACGTCTGCATGTCAGGAAGGTGAGCTTGTTACTGTGTGAGAAAGCATAAACAAGTGATTTGATCATAGGCTGCGTATACGAGTAGACACCCACTCAAGTACTTTAATATAAAAATCCCTTCTCAAACACCTAGCAACCATTATTATTCATTGTCCAAGACAAGACTGGACCACAACAAATCACAGTTCGGATCCAGGAGTGCTAAAAAATGAGACAGTGAAGCTGTATCCAGCAGAGCATCATTTTGAGAGAAATAAGTTCTTTTGACAAGTCCATCATACYGTGGGCATAACTGCAAATGACTGTCCTGAATCTGAGCAATCATCCATCACTGTCTGGGCTCAGTAGCTATGCCAGGTACACTGAGGGGCTTACATCACTTTTGTATCATCCTTCCCACAGGCCTAAGAGCAAAGCAACCTGCTTCCTCTGGTGTTCACTGAGCATCAATATGCCACTGGGAAAACATTCCCCCTTTCATTCAGCTAATGATGAGCCTGTAACACTAATTATGAGGACAACTGTAATTGCATCCTGTGTATTCTAGATGCTGCTCTCATATAAAACACCAGCACTCATACTCTTACAAAAAAAAAGCTATGTGTTTGCTGTGTATTATAAGTCACTAGGTATATAAATGAACAACTAAAATGGATAACATTTTATTAACATTTAAGATCCCCACTGAACAAAGAGAAAGCCTTCTGGTATACTAAGCTCTACTTGTCCTGAGGCACAGAACAGTATTTTGCCTTATTTACATATTATTCAGAAGAAAGGGTCCACAATCAAGATCAGAGTGGGGGTTTTTTTTCTCCCAGGTTTCCTATTTTAACAAAACAAAAAGAATAAAATTTGCACCTTTGATTCAAACTCAAGTACTATCAAGAAAACCAGTTGCAACAACATAACTGCTTTCCTGTTTCCTAAACCCTTTTAGCAAGTCCGGACACAGCCATTCACCTAGACTCCAACTGAATCTTGGTGCCTAATTTGAGAGGCAATTAAACCCTGAAGCAATTAGATTAGGTGAGACCTTACCTGTATTCTCTTTTACCAAAACTGGTAAGCAGCTGGATCTGAAACAGCCCATCCCAAAGCCAAAATTAAGTGATCTGCATCAGAAGTTACTACACTTGCTGAACAGCAATATTTGAGATCAACAATTTGCTGAGTTCTMTACAGCACAGTGGTGGCTACCTTCCCTTAAAATTGAGACAATTTTGTTTTATACCTAATATTCTTTTTAACATAAACATGTATAGAGACCAGCAAACAAAGCTCTACATCCTTGAAAATCACCTCAATTCACTCATCACACACCTTTTATCAGATGCTACATTCAGAGTGGACTGTTTAGTAGTGAACAGATCTGGAATATCTGGTAAATGCTACAAAAAACCTATCCCAACCCCAGCATTTCTGTGATGACATCGAGCACTTACTCTCACGGAGCAAAATATTTCAAAACCAAACACCTTTGAGGTATCAGGACACTTCACAGTGTATGAAAACCTGAAAATAGGCCTGAGAAAGAAGCCTCAATTATCTCACACTGGACAGAAAAAAGGTACAAAACTTCCAGAGACAGCAAATTTGCTCTGCTTTAATTTCTTTTTCATTTTACCAACAATTTACTTCACCRTCATGAGCAAAGATTAGTTTAAGTTATAGGGGACATATAGAGACCACACCAAAAACCCGTAACTTCCTCCACCTTTGTTCCTGGTCACAAACACCTCCCTTTGCTCATCTGTAAGAGCAGAGCATTTGTCCTGGAAGTTTCCAGCGTGAGGCTGTCCAATACACACATGGCAGCGTAGCACATGGGCCCATTGTCACTCTGCACTTTGGAAAGAATGGCTTTTCATGGCTGCTCTGCTACAGACACTAGAGATGCTCTGGCATTAAAGTGTGGGGTACATCTCTAAGAAGCCAGGATAAAAACATCTAAGCTGCAAGCCAGTTTACAAATAAGCTGCTGAAAGGCCCCGTAAACACAAGGCACAAAGGGTAAACCGGTAGTGTTTTGTGTAACACTTTTTAAAGAAACAAAGGTGTTTACAAACTCTCTTTAAGGTCTCTACAGACAGACCTAAAAAAACATACCATCTCACTAAGCTCCTTATTTATTCCTAGGGTCTCTATGCGAAATTAGCATGGGTAGTTAGTTATTCCTAAGGTCTCTATGCGAAATTAACATGGGTTTCATCAAAGCTTTGAAACTCAGTTTCAAACCGACCGCTCTTCTACTTCCACAAGAAACACCCCAGTGCTCGAGGCAAATCCCCTGCCTTTCCACACTGCTCCCAAACCATTACCTCCTCCATGCCAGGACAGGTCCCTGGAGCTGCTGCCTCGGCCTGCCTCACACGTCAGACTCCCTCAGGGMTGGGAAACCCAGGCCTGGAAAGCTSCCGTTTCCCGGACAGCGCCGCTCGGCCCTGGCAGCTCCCTCCCGCAGCGCCACACCCGGCCCTCAGCACCTGCTCTGCGGGGGCACAGCGACGGGCGGCGGGAGCCCTCGCACCCACACGGGTTTTTATTCCCTCCTGCAAAAACCCCGTTTCTCCGGTAAGCAGCCCTGCCACGTTTGCCTCGCACTGTGCGCCACCAGAGCATGTGCGTGTGCCCGCGGCGGGCTCGTCCCGCACGGTGTCCAGCCGGCGCCTTGCCGGGCACTCCCTGCTCCCCCCAGCCGCCACACCGCGAACAGCAGCGGSAGCGCACGGAGCCCCGCTCCGGTTAACCACCTGCGCGTCAAAGGTGTGCGCCTTCACCCAATGCACGGAGCATCTTCTTCCCTCCCTTCTAGGAAAGAAAATTTCGCAGTCGAAAGGACTCTGGTYTCTCCTCTGCCCTATACTCTTTTAACTGAAGGGGGAAAAAAAGAAGGTGGGAAATGAAAAACAGTTTAAAGAGCACCAASAGCGCTGAAAAGACTAAGAGAGAATAGATATCCAGGTAGAAGGATGAGGAGACAGCCCAGAGCACAAAGTCATCTCCTACCTCCTGCATGTGCCCGTGACAGGTGAGCACAAAAGCTGGAGACGCTCTGCAGTCAAGCTCCAGAACCCACTTTCCAATCGTTCTTGTTGGAACAGTGGCACTTCAGCGCTCTTCTCTCCTGCTTCTGTTTGGTTACTAATCCTTACTGCACAGGAAAAGGAGAGTTGTATTTCATTTAACCCCTTCAGACTCTCAGTTTCTTCACAAGGGTTTTCACTTTTACTTTGGAAAGCCAGAGTTGTGAGCACGCACACAGGCACGCCTGCCTTGGAATTGTTCCTAGCTTCTGTATTCTGTGTGTGAGCACACACATGAGCTCTAAACTGTGTCTAAAGTTGTTGCGGGGTGGAGCCCTTTTGTAACTAGTTTTATTTTAGCTGTAGGCATCATATCAAAAGAGAGACAGCTATCCACAGATCCCTTTGGTATTCATTTTCAGTAAGTTCTTAACTCTGAAAAAGAAGTATTTAACTTTATGCTAACTTAAAAACTACAGCCTGAGTGACAGTTCACAAATATGCTTTTGACAAAAGAAAGTTTGAACTTAAACACAATTCACAGCTATATTTCTGTCTAGGCAAAGGAGACCCCTAAAATCTGAAAACAGCAGCACTTTGGATACAGATCCAAATTTAACCAAAGACAACGGCAGCACAGGTTTCTCTGTTTTTTTCCTCTAACAAATGCCATGCAATTCAGAAACTCCCTGAAAACTTCCGTGAAGGAACAATTTAACAACACAAAAACTGTTAAGGGAAAAGGAATCTAGTTGGATGCATTACAAGGAAAAACTTGTGTTTTTAATCATGTGGATACTAGAGAAAACATTGCATAACAAGTTATGTGTTGCTGTTGTTTTATTTTGCAAACAGATAAATCTGCCCCCCATTGATTTTTGTCCTCTGCTTAGTATAAAACAAATAAATAATGAAATACAGAGACCACAGATCTAAAAAAATAGATTCTGGTCCAGCAATTATAACAGCTACCAGCATTTCAACCCTATTTATGATTCTCCAAGATTATGAGAATAGCTTTAGAGTTAAGTTTGGGTTGGTCTTCTATGTTTTGCCTTCCAGTKTTAGAGTACTCTTTCATCAGTAGTTCATTTGTAACCATAAGAGAGAGAACCTTGCTTTCCAAAAGAAAGATGAAGCGTCTACCTTCAAATARCTCCACATGTTGGATCAAGATGTGCAGTACCATCTCCAAAATTGATATCATTACTGTCTCCTTGGCCATGCTGCTGCTTTGAACGATCARGAGACCATATCCTTGCTATTTGTTGACAAGCCTAGATGTGCACAGCTCCAAATGGAGGTGAYAAGAAGCAATTTTATTCCAGGGGTACAGCTCTCTTCATCCCTGCTGTTCAATCCCTGTCTGGCAGCTAGCCATGAAAGGTACACAGTAYTCAAATCCTATAGTTACACATCCCACAGGGGACTGAGTTCAAATAAAAGTCACAYCTTTTCTATGAGCAAAAGCAATCCTGTACTTTGCTGTCAAAGYTGACTCTGCCACAATAAACAAGGATAAAACCTAACAGGAAACCCAACACAAAATGGCAATACCTCCATCAAGCAGCAGGGGAACCACAAGATATTGAAAGACACAATACACCGCAGAAGAACATCTAACGGTGGTGCAGATGCATGGCGACCTCTGTTACCCTTGTCAGAAGAGATAAAAACTGGACATTGTTAATGCCTAATTATCAATACAGAAATTATTGTCCTGCCCTTTTAGATTCAAATTTTCTTTTAACAAAAAACAAGTTTGGGGTTTGGGCTAAGCTGTGGACCCCCCCTTTTCCATCAGGAAGAAGTTACATGAGCCCATTTTATTTTTTTTCTACCTGTACTGTCAATTAGGCATTAGCTAATGTCATCCTGCCAGGTGTCACCTTATATTCTAAGCTTCATGGTATTTGATCAAACTAAAGCCTGAATCCCTGACCTTCTATGAATAAACCAAACTTTCAGATCAGTTTAAAGCTTTCAGCCTACTGGCAAGACAAGGCTTGAAATCCAATCCCAAAGGTTCAAAAATTAGAAGGCAAAACCCCCCCACAACTTCAGATGAATTTAAAAATACCCAATCTTTAAAATGTCTCTCATGGCAGTGGGACCCTCAATGAATGCTTTTTTGAAATACCAAGCTTAATAATGTTCTTGTAGTTTTTGTGTTCTTGTTGATAAACTACAAGGGAGTACAGAGAGACAGGGAAAATGTGACTGCTCATGTTGGAATCTAGCCAGGATACATCCAAAAAACATCTGTGCCTACTGCATTAAAGCAGATACTGTGTAAACACATCTGGATAATTTTAACCCCATAGAGACTTAATAGATGAGCTCCTGAGATGCTGACATAAAAAAAAAGAAATGACCAGACTTTTATCAGAAGTAAGTAACATGAAACATCAATTAAATATTTTATAAAAAAAAAAATATTAAAAATCAGCTCATACTTCCTGGTTCCAGCAGAGATGTGACAAAATCGGGAACTGTTTGTTAGTGTAGGATTTGAGCTTGAGGCCAGTGCTTACCAGCAAAACGGCAATGCAAATACAAAGTAAACCTTTGCCCTGTGGTTTCACAGAAAGTTTTGCCTCATGTACCTTTCCTCTCAGAGAAAGGACACAATCCTTATGATGACATTGTTTTCATCACTTACCATTTAGTGAAAGAAAGATAACCCACTGATCCAAGACCATTCTCATCTCTTGATAAAACACTGATGGATCACTATGGAATGAATACAGGAGCACAGGCATTTGCCTCTTGCCACTAGCTCTATCCAGTGGCTAGCCTGGCAGCTGGGTGTCACAGATGAGGTCAAGAAGAAACAGTTGAAGGGAATGCATAGTGAATGGATGCTGCTGAACATGATACCCCTTCTACCCTGATCAGTGAACTGCTTTTGGCAAGAAGCAACCKCTACAAGAGCTGTGGCACAGGAACTTCAACAGTTACACGGCCAGAGGTCAGTAGTAAGACTTGCTTTGTCTTCTGTTATACCTTTCATGGGAATCAACTATCACGATCTCTTACTGCCAGAGGCTGTTTCTAAAGACTCTCTAAAGATCTGCATGCTTTACTGGACACAGCTCCAGCCTAACTAGTTATGGCTACCTAACATTTACAGCATTGTAGAGGATTKACCTTAACTGGTTGCCAGATGCTCACCAAGGTGTTCGATCACTCCTCATTTTCAACCCCTGAGCACCAACCAAAAAGTTCAGGCAAGACTCACAAAGCCTCCAGAAGAGAAGCTTGTCTCAGTAGCTTGATCATTCATGCAAGGAAGAGAAGAGTCAGTGTTCAGTTTGGTTTCAAAATCTGAACCTCCCAGGAGACTACTGTGATCAGGAAACCATGGCATAATCACATTACAAACTGGTGTTCTTGATTGCTCACTTCATCATTTTGCCACAGAGCAAGGATCTGGGGTGTTGTGATGATGGATGGGTCACATGCTTAAAAATGGGATGTGTGCCTTACTTTGCTTATTATTCCAAAGGAATAATATCCAGTTGCTTAGATAAGAGCAGTGGCCTAGTCAAGGGAAATGGGCAGCCATTCACATATGTTAGCCAGCTACTTGCATTTTGCTCAGGGGATATGCTCAAATATTTATGAGCACAGGACAGTAGTGAACAGCAAAATTATATCCCAGGTAAGTCTGCTGATGCCTGAATGAGAAGGTAAAGAAATAAGGGTCTCTGGGATGTCAAATCAAGTCCACTGCTACTGGGGACATTATGGCATGTCTCTCATTCCGTTAGCTGCACAAGGGTCTGAAAATAGGAGGATTCAGCTTACTCTGAAAACAACAACTATTTTGACATACTGATTTTCTTACTTTTTTTTTAAGAAATGACAGTAAAATTTGATTCAACCTGAACTGAGCTTTTTTGAAACTTGAATAGTGCACCAATAACTCTATTCTTCCCAGATTCTYACTTACTTTTGCAGGATAGGCATGCCATTTAGCCCTCTAAATAACAGCCTCTCAGTATAAAGAATGAATCCCTCCAACCCTTCAGGAAAACAGCTCAATTTCATGTTCAGGAGACATTACAAAGTCCTTAGAGGAAGGGTCAAAGTGCATTACACACTGATGGGCTCTGCTGTACCACTGAACTGCATCAAAGCCTGTTATCCTCTTGCAGTATCTCTTGCACTGGTTTATATTTGCTCCAGAGGCCTGGCCACACATTAACTCTTTCAGGTGTTRAGGACTGTTGCAGAGGGGTTCACTCGTACAACTTTTGTACAGATACAGCTACAAGCAGAGCTGATTTTATTGTGGTTTGCCAGCAGGCAGCCACTTAAGTCAGCAATGCAAGAGAGCAAAGAGATATCAGCTTCATTCCTACYCAGTCTCCCTTCTTGGACATTTTCACATAATGCAGCTCAGAACAGTGGAAACCAATGCAGTCATCAATATTTTGTAATAATCTGCYCCAGGAACAGATCAACTCACAGGCACTTGGTCTGGCAGGATTCTCTTCTCTTAGTCCCTTCTTGACRACTGAGCCAATTCCTGTGCTGTGCTCTCCAAGAGAGCCTTCAAATAAATTTACTCTTTGTATTGAAAGAATTAGATACCTCTCTTCATCCATTTCCAAGATGAATGAAATGGCAAGCCTGTCACTTCATATTTTTCAATTCTCACCCAAATCAGGCGAGACTTTTATTCAGGCCAGCTTTCTAAAAAAGCTGATAGTGCTACACCAAGTTTCAGCTCATCATCCTTAGGCTGTTTTAAGAAGAAAAGCAGCATGCACTGATAATGTCGGTGTTCAAAAAGCAAAAAACAACTTCAGAGTGCTGTGACTAATTCCATGCAAACTTTGTTGTGAAAGGCACTCCAATATAATGCACCTCAGGATACAAGTAAAGACACTATTCCATTTCTAAGATTATACTTGGATACACAAAGATTTGCCTATTAAAAAAAAAAACAGAGGAACTACATGTAATGGAACGAATGTTGGTTTTAAACCAGCTCAGCTACTCATGAGTTTAAGATATGTAAGCAAAACCAGGACACAACTAAGTCTACTTGAAGTGGTATTAATTTTTTCTAGCATTGGACAGCACATCTAATTTTCTGATGTCCCACCCCAAATCCAGGTTATTTACAGGAAATCACTCTTACAGCTTTCCTTAAAATTAGACACTTTGAATACTGCTAATTATTAATAAACTGATCATAAGGACACTGCAATCCCATTTTCTTTTTCCGTATCATGGATTTAAATATTGTGCAGGGCAAAGTTGGCAGCCACACAGAGAATCTCATTTAAAGAGATTAACCTGTGAACACAGAGATCTGGAGGGTTCATCCATTCCTTGATGCATAGGATTTAAATAGGAACAATTACATTCAGCAAGCATACACACATACACTCAAAAAGTAACATCTATATGAATTAAATGAGGCAATATCTTTTCCAGAACAGACACTCCCCAGCTGTTTGTTCTCCTTTTATTATTTGTTTTACATTGTAATGATATATAAAACGTAGAAGAAATCACAGGTGGTAGGCAGATTTGAGCTAGAGAACTGATTTCAAGAGAAAAAACTGTAGTTCTTATACAAACAAATATCGTAATTAAGGTTGATTTCTCGTGCTCCCCAAGCTGTCACTGGTGAGCAAAGAGCAAAGGGTCAAGGATGGCCATTTGTATTCAGATTACATTTGAAAACATAAAGGACGGTCTCCAATCTCCCGAATGCTTTCAGGATAATCCAATCTGCTCTGCCCAAAATTGAAAAAAAATAAAAGTCTAGATCACACAAATTTAACAAAACATGTTATCACATGAAACAAAACCAGAAAAACCTGTTCCCCATGGAAGCCACTCAAACATCAGCCCTTTACTCAGAAGGTCTTGCCCAGAGCTCAGTCAAATTAATGGGAAGATTTAAATTTCCAAAGGCTTTGGACCAGGCATASACTGATGTAACAGAGAGAAGGGCAAAGAAAGAACAATAACCAGCTAATTCTAGGTCTGATCTCAGTATTTTATAATGATTGACAAAACTACAGTTATTTTCACTATGGATGGACTGAGTCCTAAGAGAAGGTCTTGCTGAATTATTCTGCCTYGCCCAAATCTTCATGGGGAAACCAAAGCAGCCAAGTTTCCCTTCTCTCCTTCCCTTCCCCCTGCCACAGTGCACSTGGGCTCCTGGTGCCACACACCCCCTGAGGCCCTCAGCTTCTCTGCTTCTCCCCAACATTTATCCTTGCTGGGACCAGGGAGCTTGCCAGGCAAAGATAACAATACAGCAAAGCTTTGGAGAGAAGAAGGAAGTTGGCTAAATCACAGCCAACATGAAGAAAGATCCTCCTGGAACTCTTCCAGCTATTCTCCATTTATACATTCAGGCTTTTTCTCTCAGCACTCTTTCCACACTCCCCCGAGATCTCACACTATTCACTGTGGAGTCTAAAGTCACCTGCTCTTAGCTGGGCTTGGCACTGACTACCCCAAATGCTGCTTAGGAGATACAGAAGAAGAAAGAAAAGTTGAAAGCAAAACCTCTGACAAGCAATTCTAACCCCCACGCCCACATACACTTATCCCTCGTAATTCCCGGTCCATTTATACACATTACTTCCGCTAAAGAAAAGTAAATCCGGTGCCAAAACATAGCTCTTTGGTTAAAAAAAGTGTTATATTCAGCAGAGGTTTTAACTCTAGCATACTAAACACAGAGTCATTAAGATTTTACGCTATTGAAATGGAAATTGAGACAGAAACCTTTCCAGTTCTTATGCTTCACTTTGGAATTGGAAGAAGACAACATCGGCTATAATAGCATTAAAAGATCTTCTGGACTAACATGCCCTTGATAGAAAATACTTGGAAGCATGAGGCACGACATAAGCTCTTGCTGATGTCTTCCAGCATCAGGGAGCAAGGAAACTGACACCCTACTAAGGACTGCATTGCAGCCTTGCTGCCCAGCAGTGAAAAGTTAGCAACAAAACAGAGCAACAGGGGCTGTCAAGACGATGATCCTTCTYTCCATCTCAGCAGGCTCTCCCGGCACAGCTCTCTCCAGTGGCTCAAGGCAGTGACAGCTCTTTTCCCAGGCTCTGTCCTTGTGCAACCCCTTCGGGGCATGAGAAGGTGCCCAGATCCTGGCAGCTGTTTCCATATGCCTATGGCTCAGATTTCTGACAAGGGATTCTGGAATGAGATTTCACTCCCAGCATAATGAGGTCTTTAGTCATTAACAAAGCAGCCTTCTGGGGCAGAATTCCAGCTGCACCTGAGATCTTGCCTCCACAAAGAGATGATTTTTTTCCAGCACACAGGTTTAGTCAGAGGAGAAAGGGAAAGGGTTGCTTTTACCAATCCAGGGATTTTCAGTTGCAGCAGTTGAAGGTTTCTGTTTACTCTTAGATCAGGGTAAAAAATCTCTTGCTTCTCTTTCCTGCCACTTCACAGCTGCCGGTTGAGCTTCTGTGCTTGCCGCTCCTTTGCCTCAAAGGCAAACTTGGTGTCCTGCAGCTGGGCAATGGCCTCCTTGGCCTCCTTCAGGTCCTGACAGATGAGCTCATACTTCTCTGTTAGTTCCCTGTTCTCTCGGCGCAGTTCCTGTACCACCTGGTTCACCTCCTCCGTCTGCTTGGTGCAGTGGATCTTCAGCTGCTCTACCTCAGAGAGCATGATCTCCATGTTCTTGACCAGTGACTCCAGTTTCTCTTTAGACATGGTGTCAGGATCAGTTCTGTTCAGTATGCCCAACCCAAACCCAAAAGGGACAAAGAAAGCCACCCTGTGCAACATGCACCAGGACGTCTGGCAATCACAGTCTTGTGGTCTCTTTTTATACTCCCTCCTGCTCATCCTCCTCCCTTCCCTTTCCTTCCCTAAAGTGTCTCTAATCTTCTTTGCTTGCTTAATCTACTTATTTTTATTGCGTTGTAGAAATCGACTGAAGGGCTGACAGCCCTGCAGTAACATATGTGCTGTGCAGCAAAAGCCAGAGCAGTAATGAGACTCTTTGCAACCCATCCACAGAAAAACAGCTTTCATCTGAAGAATTCTCTTGGGACTCCCTTGCAGTACCCATTAAAGTACAAAGAAACCTCTTCAAGCCAGACGCCTACTCCAGTCTTGTGCACCCAGTCCCAAGAGCACAGCCTGACTTTTATCTTACATATATTGAGGTAAGCGAGCTTACAGCAATACAAGTCAAGTACAGCAAGAGAATTAATCTCAGTTTCTCTTCCTCTTTCTGAATCTTATGTTTGGGCAAGATGGAAGGAACAAAATATAAAATCCCGGGGTTTTTTTAACAGATGATCTATCAATAAAAAATGCTGCAACAGCCTCATCTTCTGTTGAAAGCATTCAAAATGGTTACCACAATCAGTGGCAACCACAGTTACCGGGCCATGTACCTCTTGAAGGTGACTTGGGTTCTGTTAGGGACATGCAGGCTAGAAATTTTAAACCCTGGCACCCCTTCCCTCACTTCAGCTCCATCAGGAACGTTGACCCCAGAATTCACACAAAAACTTATTCCTGTATACACTTGCTACCCACAAGAGTGTCAAATGGCTGCTGAGCACTACTGAACTTGTGAGAATTGGSACGGAGACATGCCAGTCTCAACACACTGATTACTCAGGTCACGTCAGACAGCAGGGTGATCCCAGCAGCCACAAGGGATTAAGTGAGTCTGGCCGACTTTCTGAAGTTTGACCCAGACTTCCTTATGTATCCAGTTAATTAATGCACTTGCCTACACAATAAGAGTCATTAATTAGCCAAGTATCTGATGAAACAATATCACCCTTGAGAAATTAGCTTGCCTGAGAAGGTGATATTGCATGTGGCTCCCCAGGAAAGAACCCATTCTATTTAGGGCTGGTTGTCTGGCCAGGGGGCACAGACCATGGCAGAGACAAGAATGCAGGCTTGCCCTTAGGGAACTTGCACACTAGGGACAGAGACACGTGTCTCTCTCCCTCCTCCCCACACCAGGAACATTTCCTTCAGGCTGAGACTGCACCTTTTCAAAAACCTTCAGACTGTTCCACACACCCACAGAAAGGCAGAGTCTCATTTGCCATATAGAACATAGACATGGATCTGCCCTCACTGTGCTCACCTAACATTAGGCCAGTATTGCATAATGGCCTTTACTTTTGCATGCTGTTTTGCAGTTCCAGTTCTCCTTAAAAGGATCCTGTAGTGCCCTCACATACATTCAATACCAGATTGAGAGAGAATACACGTGCTCATGTGCAGAGCTCCCCCAAATATATTTTTTCTTCTATTTTGTCCACAAAAAGTTGCTTTTTTCAGCTATGGAGAGTTTCAGATTCTTCATCCCACAACTCATTGCCCCTTCCTCCCTGCTAGGCTCAGAGAAATGAAGCTCTTTCTTCCAGGAAATTTTACATCTCCTTCAGCATTGGATGAAAACACTGCTGGATTCTGGCCAAGCCCTGACAGCGTTCAAAGGCCTGGGACTTGTCACAGCTGGAGGTTAAAGAGTTGCTCACAAAGCCAGCCATCCTACTGCCTCTCACACAAGTGCACCAGCAGACCCCTCTTATCCTGGCAGATGGAGCGCTTTGCACCACACTTTGAAATGAGCAGAGTGACATCCTTCAGATGAAAAGAGAGTGGGAGAATCTAAACATAATTAGAATATGTCCTAAAGTCCTTGAAGAAACATTTGCACTGGCTGTCAGCCCAGATCCCACGTGATGCACATGGCACTGGAATAGGCTGGAACATGCTGCAGCATTACAAAACAGCAGGTCTTCATTAGTGAGGAATCTTCCCTGTCTCCACAACTGTACATGCTGCACCCAAACAGTTTAAGTCAAGCAGAATTACAATGGTGCACAAAGGGGGTGTCACAGAGGCCATCTACTTGGATATTCATAATTGATACATCAGCTCTCACTGCCTTACTCTCAAAATTATGAAAGTTGCCTTGGATACAGAGTCTTGGCAATAGAAAGGGAGTAAAAGACACTACTGAAATATAACAATGTAAAATGAAAACAAGGAGTAGCATGAGAGGAGTTTCTACAAAGAGATATGGGAATTGTTACTATGCTTGGTTTGATTTAAAGTACTTGAGGAATTAAGAAGTAAGAATTAAAAGTGTGTTCCTGAAAATTGCAGCGGGAGAATGATGCAAAAATCACTAGACCTACAGCAACAAGAGTAACTTGAACTGTATTTTCTTACCTTTAGCCACTGCTGGACYCCACTGTTGCAGACAAACTGGACGAAGAGGCAAACACCAAGAGGGAATTCTGCTGGAGAAAAATGCAGAACAGCATACCTGAGAAAAACAGTTCAAACCACAAAAATTCACTGCACATGGACACACAGCAAACAGCAKTCTTAGGAGTGTTGGGGAAATAGCATGTTAAGACAGAAATTAGTGACAGAACATAGCTGGGGAAAATAATAAAGCACTRCTACGCTGTATTACATAGAGGCAGTGCATTGTAAGGGAATGAATTAACTCCAGCTTCTCCCTCCACCCTGCTGGAGGGAAAATGAAACGTTTTGTTCTGGACATTTGTCATAAAGGGGCCAAAAAAGAGTTTGAAACTTAAACAAGTGTTCAGAGAAGATACCAAAAAAAGTGATACCAAAAAATGCGAACTTTATGAACCAGGTTTAGAAAGGATTGAAAACTACATGGCAAGATATTTCTAATACTGTTTTGCGATCATGCCCAGGTCCTCTGCATGTTCTAGGGAAGACAGCTCAGCTGGAAGACTATTTCTGTAATTACTAAGGGCCTGACTGTGYAACTGTAGTTTTGAAAACACCAGTGATTTCTGTGGTCTCAGCCAAAAGGTGCCTCTCTGGCTATTTCACAGCCATTTTAAATCAGGAAAAGTTGGTGTTRCACTTCTCTCTACACTACATGCTACACTGAGAGACAACATTGCTAAATCTATCAGCTCTTTTGTGCATGTTCTTTCCCTATTCCACCTTTCCCATGGGTTTGAGATATATGAAAGAAGGAAACACAGAGTTAGTTAAGAACTAAACAGGGRAGTAACCACTGGGAACACCCACTCCTGCTCTTGTGGCTGGCAGGAAAATTGTAGAAAATGGCACTGGAAGAAGTGAAATTCCTCGTGCTTTTCYATAATAGGTAGGAGCTACCACATCTGACTGCAACACCACACTCAGCTATGCTCGTTTTAGCACTAGAAGCAAATGACAGTATGAGGCTGCCAAGCTCAGGATGGCTCATGTGAGACAAACTTGTGCTTCTTCACAGGTCTCTGAGCCAAAGAGAATCAACCACTCCTCTCACCCAGAAGCACACAYAAGCCAAAAATCTGGTTTTCCCATCATGTTCTTATCTCTGAGAGTCTGAGGACACACAAAAATCATACCCTTTGAGTATCTGTCTGAAAACAGACCATGGACATTCCAGTTTCTAGTGTATTTAACAGGGGTCCTGGGAATATTTGAGGACAAATTCATTAAGCTACCCCACTCTCTCTTTGAAGTTTTCTCAGCAACACAAGAGGGACAATTCACTATCTTAGAATTTTAAATGGGAAGAATGGCTTTTAAATAACTGCTTAAGCTGAAAAAGCAAGCCACTTGGTACAAACTCTGAAGAATAAAGCTACATATACTTTATCTTCTCAGGCACATACCTAGATTGCTGTATCCACTTCTAGCTTGCCAGTCACAGACACAGATGTCCAATGCAACATTCACAAAAATGTAGTGGGAGACAGCCCTGTAGTCTCTTAGTACGTATCTAAAGGTTATCATCCCCAGCCAGCAATGGTCATTATTTTAACAACTGATTTTTTAAAGACATACAGAATGTCACCAACTAGTGAAAGTGTTAGAGCCCTCCAATTGTTTTTTTCTTGCAGCCTTTTCACTTACCCCTGGTTTATCCCCAATGGTGTGTCTAGCAGCCAGTGCAGTATTTGCAAGCTCTGTGATTCACCATCTAGGAAGTCTACTTGAGTAAATGCCTTTTATACAAACTCATTACAAAATTAAGTATAAAGTGCTCTCATGTCTCTATTCATAGTAAAACCACTTGAAAAAACCAAACCAACCAAGCCAAAACAACATAAAAACCAACTAAAGACCAGGCAGCATATGGAGGCAGTGACCATTCCTCTCATGAGTGGGAGACATTTGTCCCCAACGATTCAATTTGTTTCTAATAAAAGACAAACACCATTGTTCCATGTGTCAAAATACTCAGCACTGTGTAAGACATTGATGTAATGATGATCTCATCCTGCAGAGTTTAGAGACTGTTGATAAAATCTCCTCTATTAAAACATGAGATTCATTTTTTGCCACTCTTGTAAGCATTAATCATATCTCATGCAAATTGGCAGAACTTAAGTTTAGCTGCACATAAAACTACATTATTTACAGGTTTTGATCTAAAATACTGCGCCAAAAGGATACCTACCAAAATTATGGTCAAAATCCTTGACACAAAGGAGAATAATATGCGTAGGTGTCTACAGAAGTCAGAGGCACCTTTTTCCATTCTGTCTCCATCTACTCATCAGCCAAATCAAAACAATTATTTCAGTATAATACAGCTCAGTAAAGAAAAATTGATACCTTTAACAGAATTATTACCAATCTTGGTTGATTTCTCCTTAAGAAATCAGCTGGGTAACAAAAATACCAAGCAGTGACAGGTGGTTTATATAAACTTAAAAAACCTCTCCAACCTTCTACTAGGATTTTTCATCTAAGATGAAAAAGAAACATTTCCCACATGTCATAAAACAATTTAATATTTGAGGCAAAAAAATTACCAAGWGATGAATCCTTCAGATTAAATCAAAGAGTGAAAAATATTAATGACTTATTTTCAAATGTTAAGAATGTTTCAAAACAAAAGTTCTTCCTAAAATAAGAAATTGTTTTGTTCAGAGTGTCAAACTGGAAAGTTTGCAAAGCCTCTCTGAACAGTAACACAAGGAGTTCTGCTGGGAAGATATCCTCTGTGGCATCTAACCAGCCTTCTGRGGAGGGGACTGTAAAGGACACCTCCTGGGGACCACAGGGGATTGTCCAAGGGGCTTTCACCCCCACACCCACACCAGTCTCCTTGGCCCATGGGAGGGGCTGCTCCCTCCCTCTCCATAGTGCATGAAGTCAGCACTGCAAGAAGGAAGGGGAGAGAGGAGTGAAACATCTTCCCTGTCCCTCAGAGGAGACCGGGGCCCACCAGCATCTCCAYAGCCTGCAAGGGCAGATCAAATGCACAGGATTCAAATGATGGTCTCTATAACTCAGTGAGCAATGCACCCTGAGGAGTAATTAGATCTGATGACAACGTAACAGTCAATGGTTTGCCTAATACATCTTTCCATGTCATGTTGAATTAAGGGCTGCTGGAAAGGAGGGGAATGAGCAGAAAACAATTATCCACAATCAAAACTTTATAAAGGGGCAAATGGGTAAATATATATATATATATATATATATATATATATATAAAAATAAATTTGCAAATAAATAATCTTAGAAACATTCTTTCATGTACTCTGTAGTGTGATTTTTTTCCCCTAAAAACTGAGCATCTATCCTGACAGAACATGCAGACTTCAGGAAAACAAACAAGAAAAATTTCCAAACTGTTGCTATTATTCAGTACATATGAACTGAAATACTGGTTCAAAGAAGAGAAAATATGCACATTGTTGCTTATTTGCAGGACATGGGACCATGCAATCTGGTCCTGTAACCAGACTACACCAAATAAACTAGCAATGGCGCAGATGTCAGTAATTACTGAGAAATTTGATCTGGTGAGAAGAAAGGCCTCTTTTAGTTCTGGATACATGTGAATAAACACTCACGTCATTTTTGGTTCAGGATGCCAAATTCTATTATAATGATTATTTTGACATGACATTTAAAACTCTCCTTATTGAGCCAAACCAATCTCCAAAACACAGCTGAAGAACTTGTCAGTTGTCTGTGGATTTCTCTTGACTACCTGTTGTACATTTAAGAACAAGTCAGTCTGCATTATCCAAACACTTGAAGGAAGTTTTAATTGTGTTCACTATTCAGCCATATMAAAATATGATTCAGTGCTGATTCAGAAGCCTCAAAGATATAAGGAATGGGAGCATTAAGGATGAAAGGACTCCCTCAAAAAGGATGCTTTTAAACTGGGAGAACCATGGTATCAGCAAGCCCTTGCCCAGAACTACCTAGGAACAGTCACACTTAACCATGACAAGTTGTCAATGCCAAAACACTGGTATAAATGAAGGCTGCCTTTCCAGATGACTATTCTCCTACCARCCTGTCATAAAATTGGTCTCTTGGCAAATATCAAACACTATCAAAGTAGACAAGAAGTACTAGGTTTTGGGGGGCAACAAGTAGCATCTTTTCAGTACTGTATCCCTATCTCCCTGTCACATAAACAGCCTTGACAATCTTTAAGCAGATTATGTACACAACAGCTTCATCTCCAGAGGAAGTGGGATTAAAAGGTTTATCGCTACTATGACAACAGCCAGGTTCTGCTGTTCTTAAAATAGTTTCAAAACCTTAGCAGTGACTGGAAATGCATACATGCCTCCCCTGCAGCATTCATCACGCACTAAATACAGTCCTCCAAAAAGAAATCATTTTATAACAGTCTACTTTTTTTTAAGCGTATATTTTTATCGTGCTCTTTAATCCCTTGTTACGAGCACTAAGAATAGAAAGCAGTAAAAAAGGCACAGTGCTGCCATGTGGCTGTGATTACAGCTTTAGAAGTGATTATTGCTGGGTGCTGGCTGCAGACACCAGGACAGGCACTGCCCCCAAACAGTAATCACCCCTTTGCTGCACCTCTGCACATGGGGWTTCATCAGACCTCTACCTGCTCCATGCTGCCATTTTTGGCCTTACAAATGTCTCCCTTAATGACCACGAGTATTCTGCTATGTCTAAGTCTGAATTAATTCCACCCTCGTAATAACAACCGGAGGTAGAATTTGTGCCACAGATCTTTACCAAACAGCATCAGTGAGGCCTGGGCCAGGGTGTAAGTCTGCCAATAACTAAGTGGTAGCAGGACACTCTTTATTTGAGTATGCTATTGTATCAGTGATTAGTATTTTGTTGCTGAGGATGGTTAAATAAACCATTGATTCAATCAAATATGCAGCTGCAACACTCGATGACCATCCAGCTGTGCTATGAGGCATTCTCTAAGTACATTCATGCTGACTTGTACCACAAAACCAGCAAGAAGTACAATGCTTAATTCTGACAGCAGCATTACGCCAAATCAAAGTGGGTAACCCTTATCTAACACTATTGAAATCAGAAAATTATAATGAACACAGAGGTCTATTCATTATTCCAGTCAGTTTAGATTAAAAGCGTATTTCAAATGAAAGAAAAATCAAATTGAATCCAATTACATTGGTCTATCCACCAATGTCTCTTGATGCCAAGCTGAAATCATCTTTCTGCAGCATAAAGATTTAAAGAGAAGAGAAAAGAAACAAATGCAGGTTGTAAAATTCAGGAACCAATTGATTGCTCCCAATTCTCAGTTCTGTTAGCTCCTGCCATTGAAGGTAGGTTCTTTTCATAGAGTCCACAAACTCTTGACATTTCAGGCCAGAATGTGGCCTCAAACATAACTTTTAGATTTCTTGTTAATTAAAATATACCCAGCAGTAACTGCTACAGACTAACCTGAATTCTCCATGAAAGCTGATGCTGTCAATAAAGGAAACTTAACTACCTATTCCCAAAAGATTACATTAAAATATGGAAATAAGAAAACAAAGGGTAATTAGTATATTAGATTGTATCTCCAAGTTGAGTATTTAGCCTAAGATACAATACTACTACTTTGCATCTGGTCAGACCCAGCAGGTACTGATGCCTGAGGTTACTCCTCCCCAGATGGAGGGCTTTGTGTTTCCCTTGCTAAACTTCAGGAGATTCCTTTCTGTCCAGTTTTCCAGGCTGTTGAGATCCCTCTAAATTGTTACATAGTCATCTGGTCTATCAGCCACTGCTTCCAATTTTTGTGTTATCTGCAGACTTGCTTAGGGAGCACACCTTTTCATCATTCAAATCAAAATTAAGAAGTTGAACAGCACTGACCTCAGTATTGAGCCTTGTGATATACYACTAATGATTTGCCGGCAATTAGACTCTGTACTGCTGATCACAACCCTCTGGGCCWGTGCACCAGGTCCGTTTTCAATTATCTCACTATCCACTTATCTAACCTATACTYTGTCTGCTTGTCTGTGGTGAGGTTGTGGAAAATAGTGTGAAAAGCTTTACAAGACTTTAAGTAAACAACTGCTCTTCCCATGTTGAGCAAGACATCCAGCTCAAGCATGATTTTCACTTCTTAAATCCATACTAGTTACTCCCAGTCATCCTCTTGTCCTCTCTGAACTTGGAAGTGCTTTCCAGCATTTTCCATTTCAACTTCCCAGGGATGGAGGCAAGGCTGAATGGCCTCCCCTTCTTCTTTATTGCTCCTCTTGAGGACAGGACTTAAATTTGCCCTCTTCTGTTTTCCAGGAGGCTCTCCCAACTGCCGTGACCATTCAACGACAATGGAGATYGGCCTTGCAATGACATCAGCCAGCTCCCTTAGCACTTACAGATGCAACGTGTCAGGCTTCATGCACTTYAGTACATCCAGTTTGTCTGCAAGCTCCCTAAGCTGACCTCTTCCACCAAGATTGTCTACCCTGTTCCAGACTTTCCCTCTGGTCTCAGATATATGGGATTCCTAAAAGCCAGTCTCACCAATAAAGACAGAGGCAAGGAACACAACAAGTACCACAGCCTTCTCCATGCCACTTGCCCCATTCAGCAGGAGGGGACACCTTCATTTCTTCCTTTTGCCATTAYAGAATTGTAAAATCCCTTCTTCTTGCCCTTCACATCTCTAGCCAGATGCAATTCCAGAGGGGCCTTGGCTTTCTTCGCACTATCCCTGCAAGATCAGAAAACAACTCTATGGTCCATTTGCATCATCTGCTCCTGCTCCCACCTCTTCTCTATTTCATTATTTGGGCTCAGTTAGGAGCTCCTCCCTCATCCAAACAGGCCTCCTACCACCTGTACTTTACTTTCTACTTGTCAGAATGCACCTCTCCTTAGGCCTTCATGCAAAGACAAGATAAACCCTCCAAAAAAACTCTTCAAYAGAAGTTAGTCAACTCAAACAAATTTAACTTTGCAGTGAATGCTTTTCCAAAAGAATGAAAAAAAAAACCCAACAAATTTCAATCATATTGATAAGAAATCAGCACCAAAACAACAATACACAACACTGTTCATGAAGTATTTTCTTTCTGAACATCCTATGTATTTTTCCTGGTGATCTTCATTGTGCCAGCTGGTGCCTTAGTATAATCTCATTTTTCATGTCTTAATTATACCTTATGGGTGCTTTTGCAACATGCTTTCAYTGACTCTTTAAGGCAACACAAAAAGTAATTTCTAGAAGAAAGTACTTCTACAAAAATCAGGCTGAAGCTCTTCTGCTAGGAAATAAGACAGCTACTTAAATTCCTTAAGAAAGCAATGTTACTCATTAAATACTGAATAAAAATAACTACAGTGTTTATGTCTCCAAGAGCTTTTAGTGATGGCTTTAAACTAAAACTTAGTAAAGAAAAGATGAAACAGGATCCATGCAACTTTTATTTTAATAATTAGACAAATACAGGAAAATTTGCAATAATCTATCAAAACCGTATCTTATTAAGAACCGGAAAGGTGTTTAAAAAACATTCACATTCAATTCAGGTTATGTACAAACCAGTGTCTTTAAAAAAGAAAACAGCAAATGCTTTGAGTGTAAAAGAATTCCATTCTAGTTCATGTTTCAACATTTCCAATGACCAAGTTACCACTGAGATGCAATCACAGTGCATACATTTTCCACAGTCTATTAAACTTGTTTCAACAGCATTGTCAAAAGTAATTTTTTAAATAAACCATTTGATAAGTCTTTTTGAACAGTACCATCCACCCAAAAGTTACTTCTGTATATTTAAGCCTTGACTGCACTAATGGCAGGAGAGCTGTGATCTACAGGTCCAGAGTACATGTATCTATATCTTCATAGGTACAGAAATGCATCTATACATCTAAGAAGCACCAGTCTCCTATGCTTGGAATGGCCTGTGTCTCCTTTGTACATTGAGGAGATCAATCATTTTTAGTGGAGCACAGCCCTTGATTTTTTTTGGCTCAAAGAAGTCACCATTTACCGATCCAGAGCTATCCTGAATGTGCTGCAGTATCACATGCTTACACCTTTCAGGATACATTTCACACAGATGATGTGAATTTGAGTGTGACCATAAGAGCCACACACAGATAAGACAGCATCCTAAACATCTGCTGTAAGACCAGCTTCCAGGGGTCTCTCCGTCTTCGCCCTGGATTAAATCCCTCAACAGAAGGGGGAAAAAGAGAAATGGAAGTGCCTGGATTTTAGGAAAATGTGTGTTTTGTTATTATGTTTACTCATTTATATATTGAATTGAAGCTTAACCGAGGAAGGAGATCTAYCAATGTAAATTGAATGGGGAGAGAAAGCTACTGTGATAGCCAGTTTCAAAGTATTAACACTGAAACAGCCACACAACAGGTACCAGTCAATCTGCTTGAGCACAGAAGAGATTTATTTTCTCGGGTTGCACAATAGTTCTTTCAGAGCTACAGTCTAATGTGCTGTCATTAATGTACCAATTTAATAATAATGGAAATTCTCTCAAAAATGCAGACTACTTATGAAAAAGTCTTTCAGTTACAACAATCTAACCAAGGTGAATCACGACCTCAAATTAGATCAGTGTTTCAAGACAGGAGAGAAAAGTGACACAACCTTTACGCTTGTGTAGTAACAACCCAAATGCAAACAGAACCAATTGGCAACTGAACCTTATATGGATCTGTGTTSTGAGATAATTCTTAGCTGCAAGATCTCATTTGAAACATAAGCTACCATGACTTCACCTGAGAGGGCAAATCTAGAAAATTTCATCTGGTTTTTGAAGGTGTACCTAAGACCTAGTAATAAGCTGTATACTTTAACATATAGTTGCCAATAAATGCAAATTCCCTTCTGAATTTGAGATTCAAACACAAATTTGAACAGTTTCTGTGAACACAAATTTTATAGTCTCCACTACTGTAACGCTACACTAGCTCAGAAATTAAAACTTCAGGATAACAGAAGCAGCTCTGGGAAATGGAAGACTGGCAATTTAGTGTTTGAAGGTTCTGAGCTCTTCCTTGGGTTGTACATCTAACATCCACTCAAGTATGTGAAAAGGCTTTTGTGCATATCTATAGATTCTAAAGCAACTCCTAATGCAGCTAATGCTCCCATGGTGCATACTGAAGCCAAAAAAGAAATAAGTGATGACTTCTGCATTTAAATAACAGCCCTTAACTGAGAGCCAGCTCAGACACACAAGCAAATGCTAGTGATAGCAACTCTTAGCAAACCTGCTCTATACAAYGAAACTATAGCTGGGATGCCCAATAAAACACACAAGGGAATTTTCTTAGATATAATGCTCAGTGAAAGGGACAAATTACAATGGTATAAAAACAACTCAAAGTCTTGTTAAAAAAAAAAAACCCTAAAAACCAAACACAAAGCCCAACCAAAAAACGACAACAAAAAACCCAAATACCCTCAACCAACCAACAAACGTATTTCAAGTCTTCATTGCAACACAAAATGGAACAGTAATTTAAGTTAGAAAACACAAAGAAGTTTGACTTGAAAAGTCACTGTAAGGAATTTTGATATGGTTAGTTTATTAAGGCTATCTACAACGAATCAGGACACAAATGAGATGAGTACTTTAGATGAGACAATGTATTTTATGAAAATGTAAATGCTAACACTACAGTTAGCACGTCATACTGGAAAAGAGACATATATTATCAAGGACAACGAAAGAAAACCTTTCTTGGTTTTAAAGCAGATTTATACATCACAGCCTTTCTTTCCTTATTTGGAAAAAAGTTGGTGAGCACATCTGTTGTTTCAGTCCTTTGAATCTATAGGTACTGAAACAAAATCCGAGGAAAAAAAGGTAAAAGGACCTAGTGTCAGGATTTTGACAATTGTTCTACTTGGCAAGGACTCCAGTATCAAGATGAAAATAAAATGGATGGAGCCTATCCACTCCCTAAGGTTCCCAAGAACAAAAATTACTTGTACGCAGTAAGAATTTACAGCAAAACCAACTTCATCTCACCCAAGTCTCATTTCCAAGCAACTATTCATAAATGAGTTGTTTCAAATGAAGAAGAAATCAGACTTAGCAGTTCTAAGGTTTGAACAGATTATTCTTCTTCTTGTAAGAAGTTGAAAATCTCCTATCTTCTTTTCAGTGATATTGAATTGTCCTTCTTTTTGCCTATCAGCAGTTCCTCACGAGAAATGTAATTAAAGTGAAGAGGATTACAAATTTTGCTCCTTAGCAACATTAAGCAATCTCTCACCTAACTTAAGTATCATCACCAATAAAGATATGGACAAAAAAAAATTCCCTGCACAGCCTGAGGTGTTAGACAGCTGGGTGACCAATACTTCAGTCAACAGAACTCTAAATGACATTTTTGATGACCAAGAATTTCAGTGATGCATTAGACGTGCTCTTAATAGCACTTTGATCTCTAGATCTGGCAAGCTAAACTCCATCTGGGATTGCTCTGAATGTCTACTTATTTCATAAGAATGCCAACAGAAGGAACATACACCAATAATGCAGTCTGTGCTGTTAGTGACTGTTTTCAAACATAAGGTTTGGAATGGTGTTCTAGCAAAATKATTTGCAAGAGCACAAAGAATAAGTCCTGAAATTGCTTTTTAATGTAGTTTATTAACCTTTTAGAATATAAGATCCACCTYAGGACCTTATGATCCTCTACTGCCAAATAATTGAGCCCAAGTCTAAGCAGCTACATAAACTGGAGCAGGTGTACAGAAGGTGCACTCCATGCTTGAGAACACGAAGTATTAAAACTGAGAAGAAGCTCTAGTTCCAGTGTGGAAAAAAAAAAAAAAAGCTTTTAAATTTACTAAACCAAACACACTCAGGCACAGAGGCTATGAAGTCATGGAGCACTCTTAGAGTACTTTCTCCCTTTGTCAAATTGCTACGAAGTCCTTTCCTGTTACAGTCGGGCCACCGCTGTCAAAAATCACGGCTGAAGAAGTCCAATTTGGGCTGTCTTTCTTCAAGCGGTTACAGGGACAAKTTCCATGTGATTTTTCAGCTTCCTCTCAACATCAAAGAAGTTCTGAGCACCCTTAGCGCTGTGAAAACAATCAGCCTGTGGTAAGAGATCACATTGCTGGTGGAAGCATTAGCAATTTGCACACAAGTGGTCCTTACCAGAGATATGTATATCAGATTACCTCTGATATAACAGCACCTGGCTTAGACTGGCCATCAGGAAGAAGCCACTTTCACACAGGAAAATTCATATGGTGCCCAGTGCAGCAGTTGTCTCAGGAAAAAAAGCAAACCAAAAACCACCATCGGAGGAAATTGTCATGGTTCAAGCTTGGAATCTTGAGTATTTAACTTCAGTCTCGCTTGAGAACTGAGGGAAAACCGTTTTTCCTCCTTCCAGATTTGCTACAAATATCCATTCCAGCATCATGTCTGCTAGATATAAAACTGATGGAATGCTAGCTGGTCCATAAAGGGTTGCACCAAGTTATCTGTGGCAAAGTAAAAAACTAGCCCAAAGGTTATGGAGATTGGAAGAGCTGGTAAGGCCTTCTTAAAGATGGCAAGAAGCAGAAGTGTAAGGCACAGACCCTAAGGGGRAGGAAAAAAAAACAAAACACAAAAAAAACATAGGGAGAAATTAGGGAACTCTGACATGCAAAGGATTATATAATATACATATATATATATATATACACACATATATATAAAACTTCCACAGAAATACAAGATATGGTTTATGTCTTCCAAAACTAAGGGCTTAAGTGACAGATGTACAGCCAATAAACATCACGGGTAAAATCTTCACCAGTTTTCAGTCTGGCCACCCAACAAACAAAATCAAAGACAAAATGCAGCAGTTACAACTTAGTCCCTGATGAGCAATGGAAAACATCCCTATTATAATTTTACATTGTACTTACAATTAATATGGCTACAAAACATGCTAAAGTTGTATTCCAGTCCCCACTTGCTGTTGCAGAGGCTTTGCCAACAAGGACACTGTAGAAAATGAAATCACCTAAACCAAGCTTTACTCCTCCTGCAAAGTGAACATATATCATTAAAGGTAAGTCTACTAACATTGTACATCAGTAATTATCAAAGAATAATAYGTATTTATATTAACTATTAACCAGATATGCTAAACAAACAATTTATTTTCAAAATTAGTACCACTCCTGAGTCAAGCAATAAAYTCCTGTGAAACAAGGAGTTGGAAACAAGGCTTGGAAACACTACACTACTCAATTAATTCACCATTCAATTAGAATTTTCCTATACTCCTATTTATCTGGACATATAAATGAAGYACATACAAACCCAGATATCTGTACTTTTATTTGTGGAGAAGTGTCCACTTTTGGTTGTCTCGTCATATTCAACAGAATACTGAAGGGCAATTCCTTTAAAGTGGCTGAGGGAGGGGAAAAAAATAAATCCCTTGCAGATGATATTTTATTTGCCAGCTAGAAACTGATACACTGCAAAATATTCCACTGCCTTTCCAATTTTCCTACAGAATTCTTACGAAGGTAGTTCTTAAAAGCACTCATATGTAAGTACAGAGTGTATCACAGAGGCAAAAACTCCATGTACTCAGTCCAAGTTGCAAGATTTAGGAAATTCATTATTTCTTATTCTTTTAAGTAGTAATTACCACTCTAGTAACAACTCTGGAAGCACGGTACTCAAATATTTCTGCAAGCACTGTAAAATTTCCTGAATGCCATTTCACTTTCAGAGCTTTTAGGCCAAGATGTTACCAAAGGCTAACATCAGGTGAATAGCTGTTTCATTTGGTCTACTGATTACTTTCCCACCTCACTACAGTTCAGCCCAATGCCCACTTCAGACTTCCAAGAGGAACTAAGAACATCAAAAATAGCTGGATGCCTCGTTAATCACTGGGGGAAGAAAAGAAGAAAAGGAAAAAAAAGGGAGAAAATGCATAAAAGAAAAAAGGCAATGCTCCTCTCTTTCAACACACCTCCAACAAATGCCTGGAACAGTGCATTCATGAAAAGCTCTTAAGCACTAAAACACCCTTTAACTGCTGTAACAGATCTTGGATGCTCCAAACTTCTAGTAAACTAATGCTGGCTGACAAGTCTAACTGGATCACTACACACCTATCATTACTACTCACTGCAGGAATACTGGAAGGAGAAAATTATTAGCATGGCCAGAGGAGAGCTTTAATTAAAAAGTTAACTAACTAAAATAGCTGCTTTGCTAAAATTTTTGYATCTTAATGTTATTTTTCTAAGCCCCTGAAATGAAAAAGGATTTGCAGCACACTGAATTAGGATTTTTGAGACAAAGTAAATTTTTAAACTGYTCTTAAAATAGAAGTCTGGTTTTTAACAGAGGAGCACCTCACAATCAGAGGAAGCAGCTGCACCTGCTAAAATATCACAGCATCACATGGGGAGAGCAGTTTATTAGACAGGGACACCCTAATTTATTTAGAGCTTTGCAAATCTAATAGCAGCTTAAACTCCAACTGGAAATCATGAGTCTGTTAAAATAGGTATCTGAGTACTGATATCATACACTCTCCAAAGACACTGCACCTTAGCAAGATGCTGGAGAAAACTAAGCAAGCCCATTGCATTCTGCATTAATTTCAGTCTCCAATCAGGTTTCAAACATTGCTTCCCACCAAGTGGATTACGGTAGTTTAATATTGAGACAAAAATCCCCAGTAATGCCTGCATTGACTGGGCCTAAAATCCAAAAGAGGTGATACACAGCAGAACACTGCATGAAAAAGGGCTAATGCAACTGATTGTATATTGGTCTGAAAACAGCTTCTGCAACAAACATTTTGAGTCTGTGTATCAAACTAAAGAGCAATTTGCCCAATATTACTCCTGCAGCAAAACAAAATGCTACCAAAGCCATTATTCCTGTGGCATATCAGTATTGATTGTGAGCAAGAGCATCTCTTCAACTTGTTATTACCTCACAGAATCCTGTATCTGTGCACTCRGGATGCCTGACTGACCAGCTTCAGATTTAATAAGCTTTTCAGACATAACACTCCATACTCACGCTCTTCAGGGTCTTCACTTGTTTGAGAGTTACTGGGTAGAGCCTGAACAGCAGCACGTGATTCAGGTGTTGATTCAATGGGTCCTATTCTGTTGTCCCTTTGTTGCTGCCATTCCTGACTAAAGCCACCATCATCTGCTTCAGCATCTTCATTAGGAGTCTGGCTTGTGGGAGCTCGAAGGAAGAAAGGCATTTAAGACTCTTTCAAAAATGTGCCTTCTGAAACATTAAAGTTGCTCCACATATAAGATCATAGAAGAACAAGATCAAAAGAGGTATCCCATAGTACTTGGCAACACCTTACAYGGGCACAATCACAAGATACCCTCACTTAGGATTTCAATATTTACTTAATCAGGAGTCAATGTACACTGCAGTCACAGCATCTACATTCAAGATGCATTCAAGTCCTAGTATTCAGGAATACATTCACATGACATGATAGTAGAAGTTCTGTCGTAACCTAACAAAGATCACAATTTGAGGAATATAGTCTCAGCCAATACTTAATTAGCTTCTTTAGTCAACATTGACAGCTTGATTTTAGTAAAATAGAAAAACTTTAGTAAAATAGAAAACTTCTTTATTTTCTTTTAGCAAAATAGAAAACTTTACTGGAAGTTACATATACATGGATGGCTTCAAGCATGTTTAAATTCAGAAACTGCATTCTGCTTTAGTAACACACAAAAATAAACTCCATGCTTTAAACACTATCTGCATAACCAAAAGGGCTAGGCATATTTCTGTCTAATACAAATATAAATGAGTAGTATTATAATATATCAYCCCAAATTGACGAGCAGTTGAGCTCAGTTAACAGTTTTATATTGAGAGTAATTTCAACACCAACATCCCAGATCCCAGAAGAACAAATGGAGGGACATTAACTGCATAGTAAATAAACAATTCTCCAAGTCTTGACAGATTAATTGTTCTTAATTAGGCCTCCATGTTTTCATTCTTCTACAGCATTGGGGCCACTTTAAACATTAAAATACAAGTATCCATGAACATGTATTCCAATAAAGGGACAAAGGTTTGTCAAAGCAAAACTCACCTTGTTTATCATAAGTGGAGTTTTTGGATTTCCGTTGGGCTTCTGGATCTTCCTCAGCCATGTTCACAAGCCATATCATTGTTGCTATCAAAAAAATCCAAACCACAACAGCACAGAGAATTGAATCTTCATATGTATGCAATTCTGACGTAGTGCTAGCATMAATCAATTATTTCTCATTTTTCATGAATTTTTTCATACAACTATCTTTTCCCACAGGCAATTTTACTCTCAATAAAGCACAGTAATATGTGGAACACAGCCAGTACCAGCTACAACACATTTACAGAAACTGGTGAACAAAATTTTATTCCTACTAGATTTTGAAAAAAATGGTAACAGCTATTGCCAGACAAATTACTTCTACATACAAGGCTCATTCTGAAAATCAACAATTTCTTTTTTTTTTTTTCATTAATCAGTTCCTTTATCTGGAAGTAAAAAAGTCTCTTAACACGGTTACTGTGTTATATCAATTCAGAGGCAGTATCTGCATCAAAGTTTATTGTTCTCTGCCTCCACCATCATAAAAAATTCTTCAATCTGGAGGTAACCAAATGTTGTTACAYGTAAAAGGTGTATTTTAATTCAAGTTCTCCGTCTTAACCTCTCCTCTCACAAACGAGAGTAACAGGCAGCTATGCCATGTTTTACTGATTCTGTGCAAGAGCAACAGATAAAGAAGCAGCGACAGATAAAAAAGCACTCCCCCTTCTCCACTGTAAGCTTGTCCCAGAAGTGGCCAGTCTGCAGCACGCTTCCTGGTTCCAAATATAGGCCTGTCTGAAGCACCCACAGCATAATGACTTATGATTAGCCTATTTCACTGTTATGCACATGATACAACTAGCAACATGGAACTTCAGAAATGGGAATTATGTACTAATTGATACACAGGTCACAACAGCAAGTTTAATTCAATAGGTTATTTTTCACAACTGCAGGGAGAAACAACTCACCAAAAAACAGGCCCTAGCAATTTCTAGCAATTTCTCACTTTGCTTGTAGTAAGACACAGGTTATTTAAGGACTGAAAGCTGGTAAATATTTTCTGAGAACAAGTGCTTCCTTTGAACAGGCTTAATTCACAGCCTAAGGACATACTACTTTGTCCAAAACAAGGTCTGATACCATTCTTCCTGTTTGTATTCTGGAACAAAACATGCTGGTTTTTATCGTGAAATGTCTCAGTCAGATGAAGTTTCATGGTTTTGAGTCAACAGTGAAATGAAAACTGAGCCCAAGTGAACAGATCAAGAATTCCAGCTGAAAGGCATCTTATTAAAACAAAATGAGAAAAATGCTTCAGATGAGTGGTGATTGCAACCTTAAACAATTTAACAAAATGTACTTACAGGAGTAAATAAGTGCTGGAAAGAGAGTTTCATTTCTCTCTTGAGCTGTTTCAACTAACATACGAAGAGGACCTTTAGGACACAGGACAGCAATCAAATCTGAAAGGAAGAGAGAACGGATCTTACTTCACTTAAGAGACATACTTAGGAGACATACTTAAGAGACTTCACTTAGGAGACATACTTAAAAGAAGTTTTTTTCTTTACCACTTGGAGAGACTTGTAGTAAGAAAATGCACTCTGAACAAAGACTTTCGAGATAGCCACTGGCCCAAATTCAGCATCCTACWGAAATATTTTTAATATTCTCAGTAATGTAACCTAATTTATGTATTACTGTAATACGCATAGAAATCTTAAAACTGTATATTCCTCACTTAAGATACTATRTAACTGCAAATATATCTGTGCCTATATGTGAATAACTCAAGAAAGCTACTCTTCAGCTAATCTCTTGGAAATACCCAAGYTTGCTTTCTATTAGGAAAGCTTTTTGTAACCCAGGTTTAATGCTAAAAGGAATTCTAGGACAACAGGTGAGGCTTACYCAACTCCTATGAAGCAGGCATATTTGGATAGAGAGCTCTCTACCATCTACATTGCCAGTACCTTTCGCACTTGTGCACTCACTATACRTCTTTAAATTAATTTGAAACCAAATCTAACACTGAAAGGAAGAGCTGACTTGTCAGGAGCAGTGTGTTGCACAGGCCTTCTCCACCTAAGCACCACTGCTGGTCCCATTCCAGTAAAGAATTCTTGGTGTGGAGTCACAGGCTTTCAAAACTTACGTCCCTTTTACTCAAAACAACTACATCATGGTCTTGGAAGCTGATCTCAAGAGTAATTTAGTTTTGCTATCACTGAATAAAGGCTGAATGCTTGGAGCACTGAGATTTTTTCCAGTTGTATGAAGGATGGAATGGGGCTGGGGRAGGGGAAGTTTTTCTGAATGTGCTSAGTGATTCTTGAGCATACACACAATGGACAATTCCCGCCCCCCCAAGAAAGAGGACACTAATGTATCAGAGCTAACCAAATCTTAATAACCCCTGCATTTGTAACTGGACAGATTCTTAATCTTTATCATGATCAGTGACTTTGAGAGTACACATTCACCACACTTACATGCTTCCAAAAAAATTCAAATTAAGAGCACATCTTCACTTACCTGTAATGAYGTTTTAATTATGTCTAAGTAACTGAATTTTAGTCTTGCCTGGAAATTAAATCAGTATTTAGGATACAGTGATCTTCTTACCAAGTGTCCACTGCCCCCTAAAGCTTTACAGAAAAACTACATCTAGGCTTACCTCAGCCATCATTCTGAAAAAGAGCAGTATGCGACAACTATAAGGAAAAAAAAAAGAAGCCAAGGAAACGATCTCACAACTATATCCTTCTAAATATAAAATAACGCAACGCAAACTGCTCTTAATCCTTCCTTCCACCTCACTATATTATCAGGCATGGATCAGGTTGTTGTTTCTACATCCACAAATGTGAGCAATCCATAGGCTGAGCAGATCTGTATTTGTACAGGACTATACAGAAACAACCAGCTCCTAAATTCTGAATGTACAAGGGTTTCAAAGATTCTTGGGAAAAATGAGAAGCTGAAGCTCCACCTTCATAAAAAAAGATCAAAATGGGTCTCTCTGATCTCTTCTTCTCTTGAATTACTTCAGTTCTCCTCCCCAAAGAATCTCGAGAGTCCAGGAACCACGCAGGAAGATGGGATCATACAGTAACACAAAGCCCTCAGCTGCAGGGAACTGATCTCAGTTTAGGACCATGATCTTATTTATGAAGTCTGTAATCACCTTATCTGCTACTTTGGATGATACCCACACACACACATASATAATTTTCCTTTTTAAGGTCTAGTCAGACAAGTGGAAAAGTCAGGGAATTTCTTTCAAATTCCCACCACAGGACCTATTACTGTGCCTTGCCCCCAAACTTACCATACACTGAAATGACAGCCAGGATGAGCCACGCAGTCCATTCAGGAAGATACTTAATGAACACCAAGGCCATGAGAGCGCTTATCATAATGAGATATGCCTGCTGGAGCCGCAGAGGGCCCTTCCAATGGATACAAATCATTCCCACAACACCAAAGTTCCAGATCATGAGTGCCACTGTAATGTAGTCCATGGCAACATTATACGTCTTAAAAACCTCGCTAAAAAAAAAAGGAAAATAATATAGACTGCATTTGCTTGAAATAATGGAAACAAATTACACATGTAAACTTCAGAATAGCTTTAAAAGAAAATTCATATTCAATGCAGTGACACAAACGTAAAATTCTTTCTCCAATTCATACTTCACTATTCTTCACAATGGGGATAATTTTACCAGTGTTTGCATCACATCAACTCTTTCGCTTTTCTGAAAATTTTCCTTAATGTTCTAKTTCCTTTTCAATCAAAGCAGAAACCAACAGGAAATTACATTACTGCAAAATCAGTCATTTTGATTATGCTTGTACCTTTTAAAAATCAGAATAATCAGAACTTGTGAGGTTATAATGGATCTTTAAAGGCATACAAAGGTCTCTCTCTACTTACATGCTGTCTATGGAATGCTTTGCTAACTTCAGACATACATGTTTATTCTATTATTCCCCACAAACACTAAAGTAAAAAGCTTTATTTTTGGATGATCCATGTCACTATCACACCAAATACTATAAACTAATTAAGACCCTCAAGAAGTAAAATCAAAACAGACAAATATGTCATCACCAAGTCACAGGTGACTTCCACTGACTTGGGGAAGAAATGGTTGTAATGGCTTTTTGCAGAATCTGCTGCTACCAGCTATCAAGTCACTAAGATTCCTGTAATTTGCATAATACTTTCCTCCAGGAAATATGTCTTCTGCAGCTGTCAGCTGACCTTTGAGATGTACAGTGTTAACAGGATGTCCCTTACTGTCATCATATATAAACACCCTCACTCTCTGAACCTCTGGCAAAAGGAAGCCAGCACTGCTCTGAGGCAGGAGGGACAGATGAAGGAATTGCCATGTATTTTAAAAGCCATTGTTAAAGACCAAAAAAGGCATCACAGATCACTTAACAAAAAACAGTGACCGAAGGGAAGACCATGTTCTTCTTCCGGAGATCAAATTAAATAAGCTTCTTCAAAGAGAAGTGTGTTTGTCATCAGGTGCATAAAAATATACAGAATATAAAAATTTTGTGACATAATTCTAGTTACAAATCCTGATGAGGCTGCTTATTTTAGACAACAYTGAGTATTATGGGCAACTTTTCTTGATGTCTGGACAAGGGAATGCTTCCAAATTGGAGAAAGAAGCACTGAATATATTTCGATGAGATAGTAGATTCTTTTCAGCTGACTCTCTTCCACCACTCCCATGCAAACTGCCTTTGCATACATAGCTAACCATCAAAACCATGATGTAAACAACTGCCCTTGAGTAATACGTCAATGAAAAATTAAGTTATCAAAAGACATGCCAGCAGAACAAGCTACCCTGTGCAAAATGCATGTAATGGACAGCTTCTGTACCTAATCAGATGCACTATAAACCCACAAATCTTTCTCTTTTATGTGTACTCTATCAGCCTATATAAAACTAATAATTTTATTGCAATAGTTTACTCACTATCATTCCTCTTAAGATTCAAGGCCTAGTTCTAAAATAAAYACATCCATAAAGTGATACATGAAAACCAGCATATTAATGTTTTAGTTCACTTACCCCAGGTAGATGAACGAGAAAAAGAAAAGCAGCAAAAGAGAAGAAATGATAAGCCAACCATGGATCACCTGGAGAAGATATCAATACAGATGTTTTTAGACTTGTTATTTTAAATCTAGTGTCTACTAAAAATGCTTTTAAGGTTATTTCCCTTTTGATTAAAGCAAGAAAATTATTTAAGATACCTATCTTTGGTTGTTGCTAAATTCATGTTTAGTCTATRCACATTGTTGTATTTCAATTTACGCTCATGAATTTTAACTGCTTTGTGAACTTTCAGTAGATGTTCTTTAGCTCTATTGAAAACTACTGTTTGCTTATTCTTAGACCGTTTTGATACCATTGACATTATAACACAGCAGAAATATCCAGCATGAACACAGATGGAAAACATGATTCACTTTTGTGGTGCTCTGGTTTCAAAYAATTTGCAGAATGCAATTATAGAATTAAGTGCTGTAATCCAGAAAAACCTTCAGTGCTTATCTGTTGGAATGTCATCAATRAATTTATGTTAAAGGATTTCTATATTCTCTATCAGAGATCTATRTACATAATCCCTAATTTTGATGAGAGCAGACATACATACCCAACAATTTAATAAAAAACAGTTCAATGTTTTACTCAGCAGGGACACACAAAGATTTAAATCTGGAAATGACAGGCACTTAGACTTTGCACTGACAGAAGCGCATACCACTCTTGTGATATTTATTGTGCAAAATTAAAAATCAAGCCTGAAGACCCCTTTAAGTCCAGTAATCTCTTAACTGAGAATGAACATATATTTGTCAAAGTTCCAGCACAGAACCTCTTATGTAAAACCTGACCCAGTATGGCAAGTAGACCAGTCAGAAGCAATAATCTAGAAATCAAAGCTACATAAGGAATCCTTCTTTGAACAGACATGCTCAGTGGAAAAATAACTGGCTAAAGTAGCTATGTATGTACACCAGATCGAAGTATTCAGAAACTATTAAAAATCTGAGCTGTCTCTTCATCRTGTTCTTAAAGATGTATAGTAGAATGCATCTTATGTTATAGTTCTTTAAATATTTAGCAAAATATTTSGACTTAGAAGTCCATATGCACACAGACTAAAGGAATCCCACTTATGTGATGCAACCAGGACTTTCTGGCAATCTAGGAATCCAGCCATTACAGTTAGTAATTTAGTACTTTGAGTCTAATGCTAAATTTTTCACATGCATTTTTAAAATTCTCAGCCATTTTTGAAACATTCATTCTCCTCCTTCACACTGTCTCTTAAAACAGGTTCAAATCAAACTTTTCACCTAATAAAAYCTTAAATTCCTAATTGAATAGACTGGCCTTTGCTAGTATGTYCTCAAAATGACTTCAGAAATTCCCACACGTAATAAGCATGGTGCCTGGAAAGATGCTCCAGGAAAACTGCCAAACTATCTATCTGTCTCAGTACATCAAATTATCACCACTCACAGCAAGTGGGAGAAAGAACTATTCCAAAGCTGAATGTTGGTATGTATGGATTGAAACAGAACCAGATTTTTCAACAACATGTGAAAAGCTACTAAGTAGGGACCTAACTAGAGTAATTTTATTTCTCCGTAAAATTCATTGAAACCATTTTAAGAAAATAGCAAAGAAAGCTGTCTCATKACTTCTGTCTGTAGTTCTTCTATTTGTAATATAAGCTCTTAAACYCTTATCACTTAAGAAAATAAAGTGAATGGTAATGTTTCATCCTAAAAATAGCAAAACACTAACAGTGTGAAACAGCAAGGCCAWAGTCCAGCAAACTTCTACACAGACCTTGCATAACTATTGTCAGCAGAACTACAGGAGGTATTTTCAAGAGTTGTCCTAAGCTGGCATTTTACACACAGATGCTTGCTTTATTCTCAGTATGTACCTCATTTACTATAGCATTTTCCTGATCATTGGTCTCTTTTCTTACAAATGACTTTTCTCAAGTACTTCTTGTAAGTTTTGCTCACTGTTTTCCTAGCAGGATACTGCAACTGCCCTCTCATTAAAGAATTTTCATTCTTTATTTAACAACAACCTCAACACTAATTGATTGCTGATACAAATTTGGCTTTGCCTGCTACAACTTGAATAAAAATTAAGGACGGACTGCAGGACGCAGAGAATTAAAATGAGCTACAGCAGTCAGACTTTGGTTAGGCAGACTGAAACAATGAAGAATGCAGAGAATAAAAAGTTAATCAAACACAATCCCCTTCAAAYAGCTGTTTCTGGTTAGATATAGGAGCTAGAATCAGGATCATGCTTAGCATATCATATACAGGACAACCACAGGAAACTGACAGTAGTGAAACTGACAGTAATGAAACTGAAGTAGTGTTTCCTTTCTTCAAAGGAGTTTTCAGATACAGATCTTGTGAAGAGAAGCAAATTATCACTACTAGATGAAGCCCTAATGTTCTTCCATTATAAAATCCATTCCTCATAATCYACACTACAATAAACATATAAAACTGCATGTAAAATAGAACTCAATGGACAGGTACATTTWACAGCATTCTGATACAGCAGGATAGAAATATCTAATTCTAACTTATTAGTGGAACAGTTATTTTTGTAAGGAGAATGTGCTGTGCTTTGAAAGGTAAAGATGGAAACCAGAATGTGAAAAGCTYAGAAAGAACTAGGTGATGCCTTCAGCACCTTAGGAGAATGAACTGGCTACTAAGCAACCTAAAGCCCAGTAGTTATTTCACTTCATTAGAATAAAGAAAATTGCCAGTTTAAGAAGAACACCTTATCAGTTCACATGTAACACCACACTATGATCAAAGTGAAGGTCAATACTTTAAAAATCAGTATTCCACAATGTCTGCAGACTCGGGCAGAAATAATTTTCCCAGTCAGTCAACAGACAGTTTGTAAAGGGGTTTCACCCACAGAATGAAGACCAAAACCACTGTTCCCTCTTGAAAACAAAATGAAATGACGCAGACCTTTGAATCCCCCAGTTTTACAACTGTGAAACAGATTCAAGGTTCTGGCTACATACTGGGAAGTTTTATTARGCTAAGCCTTGTCAAATGATCATTAAGACCAAAACAAACCAGAAATTTTCATGGGCAACTCCTCCCACACAGGTGGCACTGCAATTAAYTATGCTAGGCCTGGACTTGCCYAGGTGATATCACTACAYGATTGAAGCCTTTCACAAAGAGCCTTAGAGACTCTGTGTTTGCCCTAAGATACTGTCTGGCGTGTACAGCCACGCACACATCACACTGATGGAGACATCTGTACCGGGGACAGRGTGGGAGAAGGGAGCCCTCAAAATAGGACCAAGCCTGCCCTTTGTATTTCTTGACCACACAGAGGTTTCAGTGCAAGAACATTTCAAAAGAATAGAAAGCAATGTCACCCAATTTCTAATTGACAGAACAGATGGCAGTGACAGCATTGGGCTTTCGCCCTGCTTTGTGTCAAATGAACAGAAGCCACAAAATTAAAACAGTGAATTAAATCAGCAAATCTGCTATATTCACTCACTCATCCTTGATAAGACTTCACTTTGTTGCATTCTCTCAATAATCTGTACTAATAAATAAAACTAGCACAACTACTTACCTTGTAGCATCTGTATTTATAAAGCACAACCAGGAGGATGGTCATGACAATGATAACGCTGATCATGATGGCCGCGTTAAGAATAGAATTCAGGGCTCTCTGTCCTACTGTCTCTGTCTCTTCTGTGAAAGGAGTGTAGATGCTACAATAACAAAAAGTCAAATGAAATGACACTGAATGCACAGATGTTTCTAATATGTGAGGCCAACATCAAATAAAATTGCAGTAACTTTTCAATTCAGAGCTGTGAAAGCAGCATCTATTTTCCACTAAGACAAAACCTGAAAAGTGGCATAGTACCATTTTAGGAAACTTGAGTTCCTGAGAAGACTTGCCTTTCTTACATTCTTAGATTACTACTATTTTCTGCTTTGTAAAGCAGATAACGCCCAAAACTGCCCACTGTTTGATATGGCTACACCCATACCATGTGTCACTGCCACTCTCCCATGCCATCAATCATGTGCTGGTCAGGGCAGCTGGAGTTTCACCAGAGTGCCACCTATGGATTCACCATGAAAGGCTCCCTGCTGATTTCAACAAAACAACATATGGGCTCAACTCACTCTTTCCTAAAGAAATACAACCTCCTAGGGCAAGTACTTCGTTGTGGGATGGGAAGATAAGGCAGGGGAAAAATAGCATAAATAAAATCCCAAAAAATAGAAGTTTTTGATCAATAACTTCTAAAGTGAAGAAGAACTCTGTGTTTCATTGAAACATTTTATGACATGCTTATATTATGCAAACATTTCAAAGCCAAATACACTCTGAATTGTTTTGTCTAAATGTTTTCACAGTGGAACATTTAGACAGATCTTCAAGGTCCATTCCAACCCCTTAACATTCTATGATTCTGTGCCTTGCTGCAGTTTCTGACAGGCTCAGTGCTCTTCCTTTGTCTTCTTTCTCTCAAATCAGCTTTCACTGAAATTGGGTGGCTTTTTGGCAACATTAATATTTTACCAAAATAAAAAACAATCCTACAGGAGCATCTGCCAGGAAAGTTTCTGCAACTACATCAGAAGTGAACCTCTTGAAACTGTATTTCCCTTGCATCTGAATTTCTTTATCAAACAGCATGGGCAAATCACAACATGGCATACATATTATTTCATTTAAACTAGTAGTTTTGTTCCTTTTCCAAAACTCTTGTAATTCTAGCATAGTACAAGTGAAATAACTTTGGCTCAGTATTAARTTTCTTTTATAAATACCACAGAGCATGATGAAGTATTAAAATGAGGACTAGGATTTGAATCAGGTAGGAACAACCAAGATATTAACCCCGGTCACCAGACAAACAACAAATACCAATAGTACCACAAACAGAAGAGTCTGGTTTCTTGAAGGAGTAACACAAAACTTTCTTTGGGCTGGAGAAGGGGAAAAGGGAGGCAAAAGGAAGTTCACGGCTTGAATCAGACTTCAGAAGAAATGGGAGTTTGAAGGAAATTATCTAAGTCCACTAAAAAGGGGACAATATTGGGGAAAATATTGATACATACAGCTGTCCATCCTTGCGTGTATAAAAGCTGACAGACTTGATAGTTGCAACAACGACCACCATGCAAAGCGTGACAGGTACAAACAACATAATCACATGTTTTGCCCCATATTTCAGTGTCAGCTCTTCATCTTCTTCTTCATCTTGCTCCACCACTTGCTGAATGTTGTTTTGTGGCTGCCCATTAGTCTCAGACTCGAGATTGTCATTTCTTCTGCGCTCACTATTATCATGGCGACGTCTTTCACTGTTGTCATTCTGCAATACATAAAAACCAGTTTCCTCAGTAACTCTTCACAATCAAGCACTTGTACATTAAGCTAAAGATGACCCTCAGGAGGAAACATGAAAGATAATAGTTATTGCCAAGAACATTTGTTGGAGCAGGGATTTAAACTGTAAATGCATCACAGTTATTAAAAGAATGGGAGCACAGGTTTATGTTAGAAACATTTACATTAAGAACAGCAACAGTCAAAAGTAGGCTGGTTGCAYCTAACAGCCTGTGTCACCTTTCCTTTAAAAGCTGAATAAAGCAGCTTTTCCACTTGGTTCAAACGACAGCTGGTACAAGGATACATGACAGTAGAATTCCTGTCACTTGACAAGAATTAACTGTATCTGCCCCTAATAATAATGCCAGACAGATTTATGATCCCCTCTTCATGAAAATGCCAGAAAATGTCTACTTCTTTTGCTATGTTACTCCCACTACAGTATATTAAGTAGAATATATATTAAAATGGAGTTTCATGAGGTACTGTGTTCCCACATTTTCAGTAAGAATGGTACAGAAATTGTGATCAAACTCAGGCAATTCTCAGTCTTTATACTGATATTTGATCCCAAAGTTTTAGCCTGATAAGTTAAGCATGCATTTTTTTCTTTTCCAGGGAAACTACTGCCACATCCTTTCACTAACATTGAAGAAACTCCACCACTCTTATGAAAAAACATGAAAGAGCTTTCTGCCCTTCCTAATACTGCTACATGAAACATCAAGGGTACAATTCAAACATAAAGACAGTGGTAAACTTCCAACGGAGGTAAATGCACAAACTAGAAACATCACCTCTAAGTAAATGATCAGGCCTGCACTCCAGGCTCCTGGTGTCACAAATTTTTTGCACCCTCTTCAAGGAGCCCCATGAGTGTGRGGCATTCACCTTTTTTATGTTGTGTGCACACAGAGAACACAACAGGAGAGTAAGCTATGCTTTACCTGGTCTGGACTACAAAGAAACAAAACCATTACCAGACACTCTAAATAAGCATTAAAATGCAACAGTTGATACAGACTACTCCTTTTCTTTAGTCTATTACCATGGCCAAAGTCAGCACTGTACTGTTCAAACCCAAATAGTTTAATATAACAGAAAAAATAAGAAGGTATTTGATTCCTTACAAAATGCATCTCATTTCTGCAGAATTACTTCACCCACAACATTTCTGTTTAAGTGCACTAAAGCAGCATTAGATTAAAATATACAATAAACTGAAGGAAGATACTTCTTGCAATACCTTTAAAATATCACTCAGTTTATAAAATTGATCTGGACATAAGACAGGGCATTGAAAATAACCTAATTAATTTCTCATTAAGTATTCTTACTCAGGTAGTTTTCTCCTTAAACATACAATGTTAAAGTCTAATTACCTGTTCTCAGCAGCATTTGCAAATGTAACTGCTGACTTGTAGCTCATTAATTCACTGCAGTTTTTCGATAAATCAATAGTAATTTTAGAGATTCTTTCTACAGAGCTTTCACAGCTCCACCCTCAGAAAAGAGATGTGAAGTACAAACTCAGGAACTCATAGTGGGKTTCTTAAAAGCACTTAAGTGATTAAGGAGCACAAGACCTTGGACTTTGAACTGCAAATACTGACACTGCTAAAACCCTGGTTGAAGCGTTACAACTTCCCCAACTCATGAAACATTTGCTTTTACAAAACAGTACAAAGTAACAAYACACAAAATGCTCTGCATATTTCTTCCCTTTTTGTGGCATCCTCAGGAYCAACCTCAGCAGAGTTTCAAGATCTGTCATCTATGAAAACTGGTTTCATTTTTCAATCTGGAAATGGAATGTAGGAGGAGGAAAAAAAACCCAAACTAAAACTGTCTAAATTAAAGAAGTATGACTAGGACACAACCAGATTTTTACAGTTAAGGGTTTTAACCTTAGTTTGAATTTAGTATCGTTAACTTATAATATGTCCTCAAAAAGACACTGGGTTCAAAATTATTTCTTACTAAATGAAAAATTTATTATAAATTACTTGGCATTTTGCATAAAGTCCTCACATGCCATTACTGAAAGTCAGAAATGGGAGTGTGGGAGAATGCAAATAAAGAGATCACCTTTAATTAATCTGAAATGCTAGCTACAACTAAACCTACTTCTGTACAGATTATAGCACAAACATAGTATTTTACACTTTGATAGTAAAATATTCCATTTCCCTCAATCCACAACAAGACAACAATAAACTTCATCATCTAAACAAACTGCCTAAGATTATGGTAAGTAACACTGTACTGGAGATGAAGAGAGCCTTGGAACACAGCATAAGCAAAGCAGACTGAGTATTTAAGTTTCTGCACACTTGCTGAATGTGTCGTTTTTTCTTTGCTGTAATAACAGTCTTGAGGGAGCACTTACCCCATCTCTGGAACAGAAATATACAAAATAAATTAAAAATCTACAGCTTCACAGAGTAAACACAAAAAAGCCAAAGGAAAAAGCCTGATCAACTAGCACACCACTACAAAAACCTGTAAAATCAAACATAAAAACTGAAGAAATTAGACCAATAAGTGTCATTTCACTCCCTTCACTAGTGAGGAATAAAGACGCAATCAAAAACGGCCTTTACATACTAAAACACAGTGCATGAAAACTAGATTAGCATCAACAGTTACATAAGTTATTCCCTCATTTGCAGTTAAAGCTAGAAAATAAGTTGTCCTTTCAGGCTACTAAAGTGTAGCTAAATGTGACATGCGCGTGCCCCACTGCTTAAAAGAACAAAGTGCACTTATATCCTACCTGATCAGTATTAAACAGAGCAGAGGCCATGGACTCTTGCTGAAGTGGAAGCAAAGGAACAGACTCTTCACTTTCCTCAGACATAGTTAAAAGTGAAAATTCTGAAGCTAAAAAGTCAGTAACACCTGTTGTAACACCGTAAGCAAATGTAAGTTATGAACTACGCGCTTTCAGGCGAATAAACAATATCAAAAGCAAGTGATAGTGGTTTTTTTTTCCCTATCAGGAAAATAGTTAATAGCAAATCCAGACTACTGCCCCTGAACCAAGAGATAAAAACCTAGCTTATTTGATAAGAAGTTTTTAGTTATTAAATCCAGATTTAACCATCAGGAGCAGACCACCATGCCTGACAGTGGGCATGGACTTCATCAGTTGTCACATACACCACTGATGTTAAAAGGACATTACGCGGTGGCAGATATTGAAGACTGGGCTGAACTCTTTTTGTGTGTGACTAGAAGAGATTGCAAATTATAGCTCTTGGTGATTTCACACTGTTAATGTATACTRGCTGACTGTTAGTCACAGAAGCTAGTATACTTAGGCAGGAAAGGGCTTTTGTAGCTTTGTATGAAAACAAAGTAGATGTGAAAAGGGCAGAAACATCATTACAACTTAGTATAAAAACTACTTAAACATGGAAACAAAAAGCAAAAGTAGCAGTTACTCATCAGTACAGTCAGTGAGAATAGAAACCCTTGCTGGTAAGGAGCATCACCAAGTTATCTGTAAGGACGGTGAGCCCACAACTTATCACTGAGCTCTGCCTTTTTAATCTGACAGAAGTGTCCAATAAAAATTAATCTCTCACCTGTCCAAGAGGAAAAGACACCTTCTTCATTGTCTCTTAAATAAAAGGAGAAAGGATGCACTAGAAAAGTTCCCACTCTACTGGTTTAATTTTTTAAATGTTTAATATTTTTACTGATATAGTGTGAGGCTTATGTGAGGATTTTTCAAAATTCTATTTAAACTGCTGAATTGTATGGAAGAGTTGAAGCAGGGATCAGAACATTCTCTTGAATTACTGCTATAAACACGGCTACAAGTGGCCCAGCCTCACAAGAGCATTTCTGTGTCACAAGGAAACCTGATATTCAAGAGCTATAGCAGGAACAAAGAACAGAGTGTGACAAGTCTAAAAGCCTGAGCACCACACCCAAGCAGATCACCTAAACCTGACTGTACCAAAATACATACAGTACAATGATACAGTTTTAGCAACAAGTACGTGCTTAGGTCTTTCAATGCAATCAAATGAAACTTCATGTTTTGAGTTCCTCCTCCCCCAAAACCTCAAGAACCACGAGACCACCCTGAGATTTATTCACGAGTAAGACAGGACAGAGCTGTTCTTCCTGCATAGGAACAGTCCTCCAGCAATAGCAACAACAAAACTCAGGCTTCAGGCTCTACCAACTAAAATTAACTCTGTGACTGAGAAACCTGTGAACCAAGCAGACCACAGCTAGGCTAGATCACGAAAGCTCACTGAATCCTGCAAATGTCAGCGTTTGATACCAGAGTGTTCCACCCCATTCTTTTTTTTTTTTTTCTTGATGGCTTGGTGACTCCACCACTACCTTAAACAGGGGGAAGCCTTATCCGTACATAAAAATGAGTTTRGAAAATCAGGTATTTTCCAGCATATTTCTTTTGGCACTGCTTACCACCACAACAATTCAGAAAGAAAAAACTAATCCCAATGAACTMTTCATCCCCATTAAACTGATAGTAAAATTGTTTGTTACATACGGCGTTGCTGAGGTGGGTATCAGGGAAGTTTTCTGTCAGCTGTCCATGCTGAAACTGGGGTAAATGCGCAGACAGCTCTGTCATTGGGACAGTCCTCAGGGAATCACTTATTTCCACACAAAATGGACCTTTCCTCTTGAGATGCTGAAAAGAAAGAGATGTGTAAAAAGTCTTTGTTCTTAACATGACCAGGTTCTCCCTCCCCWTCCGACTTGTTTCTGGAGTTCACATAAACCAGATAGAACCATTTTCTATCTAACCTTGACATCAAACTGTAGCACATCTAGAGATCATAATAGAGATTTTCCAGCACAAAAATAAGAACTGTAGGTGTTATCAAATTTGTTCAAGAGCTACAGAATTCAGTCGGCAATAAACAAATAATTTAAACAGTTCTCCGTTCCTTTTGCAATCAACGAGAAGCATTGCACACTTGCTCAGAGCACAACTTCCATGTTTTTATTTCAGCAGAGCATGATTGCTCCAGATTGTTTCATTTTGGATTGCTGATACATTTAACGGTAATTCTCAGGTAAGATGACTGCGTTACACTTGATTATTTAAAATCCAGATATATTTTTAACACTGTGATGCTGTAAGAGTCACCAAGCGCTACACAAGACAGTATTTCAGCTGAGCCTCAAGAACTAAAGTGCATTCAGCTCCCCATACGTACCAGCGACAATGACATAAACATGCCACATGTATGTAACAGCTTTATACGTTCTTCCATTAAAAAGTCAGATGCTAATATTGTCCTATACGACCTATATGCTCCACAACAGAGGATACAGGAATACTGGGTAAAGAGGAAGTCTGACTGACCCAACTGAATTTCAGGAAARAACCCCATAATTTTAAGAGGCAATGAGCAGGCCTGGACAAATCACAGGCTTGGTTATACAAAACATAAATAATAAATAAACATCAAGGGTGGAGAGTTAGTCCATCCCAAATAGCTCCTGCTCCAACCTTGTGCTAATTCCAGCACTCATCAGTCCTCTTTAGACTTTATTCACTAAAATGGAAGAAAATTTGTAAAACAGTATACCGTTTTAGTATACTCAGCTAATGTATCGAGGGATTTTGAAAAACTGCTACAACAGAGGGCATCACAAAGCAAAGCCTCTCACTTTTGGCAGCAGCAAGACAAGTGCTTCAAGACAGCATCCTATYTGAAGAGGAAGTTAAGCCTTTTTTYACAMACGGAAAAACGTAGAAGCTGTTTCTCTATTTACAAGTAAATATGTACCTAATAAGACTAGGGCAGAATGCTTACTAACTTCAGCAACTAACTTTGTGTAGCTTACACTAAAGAACCAATAGGAAACAGCACCAATTTAACAAGTCTAGTGGGTGCATGGAAAAAGAAAGGCAATGTAGTGTTCACCAGAGTAGCTCCCTTCCACATTTGCCATTAAAAATAAAGCRCATCTAATTTAAAATTTAATTTATATGTAAGATTAGATTAAAAAAAAATACAAATTACATTGCTCTTACTTTTAAAAGTTTAATTCTTTGATAGGGCTACAGAATAAAAACAACGTTGTTTTAAGGCTGCAATTGGTAGAAATTCTCAGTGACAGGGCAACCACAGTGGAMAACTTGAGAATTTTCATCTAGATGTGGACTATCAGAATGAGATTTTTCACATAGCAGCATGTCAAAATTCTAATTAAATTACTGGAGAGAAAACCAGAATGAAATGCCAATCACAAAACCCTACTCATAGACCACTAAAGAAAACCACCAAAAACTCACCATTARAAAAAACCTTAGCTCCTGAGAGGCAAGGAGAATGAGAAGACAAGGAGGAATAACTGATGAAAGAGTTGCACCAAAGTTTGAATGGCAGACCTCAAGATTTATAGTTTGTTAAAACAGTTTCTTTTGAAAACTCAAGAGTTCAGAAAATGGATTCAGGACATCTTCCCAAACAACTTTATTTTATATTCCTAAATAACATAAATTTGCATTTGAAACATAACTATGAATGAATTAAATCTATAAATGAACGGTGCATAAATAGACACAAACTAAAACTTAGCTTGTTTTACCTGAAAAGGGACTCACCTAGACATTTTTTTTTTCTAATGAAGCTGTTAATGTTAAAATAGCCTGTCTAAAAAAGTTCTTCCTTCCTTCCTTTGGCTTTCTTAGGTCAGAACAACAGGAGTTACAACTGTCGCTGTCATGCGCTTACATTTAGCCTAATAAACAGAGGTGACACGCAAGTGAGCTCCTCTTAGAAGAGAAAGCAAACAAGTATCGATCAGACAAACGCGGCGAGGTAAAACCCTGTATTCTCCCTCAAGWGAGCAACAAGAAGCAGCTGCCACCGCTGTAGGGGCACCCCCGGCGCCCCGCGGAGCCCGCCCTCAGCCCTGCCCCGGGCCTGGCAGCCTCGCCACAGCCAAGGCACGGGGGTCGCGGCCCCTGGGAGGCCTCTCCGGCGCTGGGGGCGCGGGTCAGGCCCCGGCCTGCCCCCGCTCGGTGGCAACAGCCGCCCAGGCCCCAAGTCCCCTCAGGGTAGCGGGAGAGCGGCAGGGACCCTCCCGGGCCCGTGGGCGGGTGTCGCAGGGCTCGCTCAAACACCGGGCCCGGCCCGCCCCCAATGGCCCAGCGCGCCCGGCCCCCGCCACCGCCCGACCCGCCGGGCACCACGCCCTCGCCCACCCCGCCGGGGCTGAGCCGGCCCCCCCGCCGACAGACGGACCTGCCCGGCGCCCCTTCCCCGCGCTCCGCCACCGGCTCCTCGCCGCCTGCAGCCCGGCCCCGCTCGCTTCCGGCCCGCGCCCCGCCTTCCGCCACCTCACTTCCGACAGGCTCTGCGGAGCGTCCCGGCACAGGGCAGCCGCCGCACGGAGCCCCCGCCGCACGGAGCCCCCGCCGCACGGCTCGGGACGGGACCCCCGGAGCGCAGGAGCACGAGGGAGAGCTTCGGAAAGAACACGCCGAAAGCTTTGCCGTCAGCAAGTGCCGCGAACCAAGACGAGGGAGTGGCAACCAAAAGAAAGCACCGGGTAGGAGCGGCTGGCTGCTTAGCAGAGAATGAGCACTCGCTCAAACTCCAGCCAAGAGGAATCGCGCAAAGGAAATCTAGCTTGACCTTTCTAACCTCGTACCAGATTAAGAGAGGTATTATGAGAAACACACTTCTCGACTGTTTTGAATTCAAGTCATATCTATGCCAGTATCACTGTTTTAAAATGGTCCCACAAAAACAAAACAACCCAAACCAACAACAAAAAATAACTTGAAGGGATATTTCAAAATAAAAACAGTACTAAAACTCAACATGGTATCTTTTCAAAAAACCTCTAAGTAGAACTGTGACTGGTTATAGTGGAAAAAACCAAAATAAAGTCAATTCCAAACTTAAAATTACCTTGCTATCCATTTTGAAGGGTAATCCACAATTCCTTTTTAAGTGTGTTGGGTTAGTAACATRTAGCAAATGCTATGATGCATATAATCACAATGAATATAAAAAATGTAAAATCTGAGGGACTGCGTAATTCTGCATGTTTAAAACAATGTTGTATTTCAGTATTTGACTACACTACAGGAAGACCTATGGTAAACCGAAGTGTAACACAAGTATTGCACCTAAAGATTCAATGTAAGCATTGCAACACAAATACTGACTTCCAATAGCTCATATGTCTATGAATGCATTTAAAGGAAGCCATTTTTAGACTGGAAGTGATGTCTMACCATTAACAAGGCAAAGAAACCCCCCAAACTCAAGGAAACATGGGCATACAGCTGTACCTATTTTCTATTATGGRTATCAATTTGATCTATGAAACGTCTATTAAGCAATACCTTATACTGCTCACACTGCATGACCGTGTGCTAATTTAAAATTCTGTATTCTATGTTCCTACACAGGATAATGTATACAGTATCAAAAAGTGACACTCAGTTGTAATATAAAAACTAACAGCTTACAATTCTAAGTATATCCACTTTCCATAACACTGCTCCTGTAAGCAGCTATCTAGCAACTCCATTCTCTTTAAGCAGGAAACCTGTACCAAAAACAATGATGTAGCTAGATGATCACGGCTCTAAATGTGGGCAAGGGAAAGGCCCCCAAACAGTGAGTTTAGCTTCTTACTGAATACCTGTGTTGTACTACTAATGCTTTCCTGTTACTAAGAGGGAAGTAGACCTKTCATGCTCTTATTAAATGGAGTTGCTAGATAGCTATGACCAACTTAAAGGTAATATAAAAATAAATCATTCTTGGTAATGGATCTTACTTGTTCCTTGTTTCCCATTTCTTTCCAGGGCATATTAATGAAGAAAAATGGTACTGTATCATTGTACTCACATATTCCAATCACTGAATGGCAGTGATACAGAATGATTATCAGAATAAGAGCGTGCATTATGTGAAGTTGTAAATCCTTATTCCACAGTAAGGTCCGGATCAGCAAGTATATCTAGTTCTATTGTGTAAATACTGGTATTTTTTCATTACWCAGTATGTGAAACTTCTGGAATAACTTTCCATCACAGTATGGGTCATACCATGGCACGATGCACTGAGTATCTGGTGACAACATACATATTCTACTGATGCATCTCATCCTGAGTGTACTGTTAATCTGTGCATTCACTAACGTAACACATATAGTGTGTGTTACATCAGACATTCAGACAGTGAAATGTTGTAATATTGGCAAAAAAGGCTTTTTCTATCCCAGAGTTTCCAAATTTATGTTGGAATAGTAACAAAATCTTGGAATTTTGTTACTGCATATTGAAAATTAACAATCATAAGTTMCTTACTAAGAACCTTGGCAGTACCTGATTTATGTTCTATTTCCCAGCACTGACACAAAATACAGTCTCACTGAGACATCATAACAATAATTTGAGTAWGAGGTAAAAGTAGAAGTGACTTTTTACTTGCATTCTGAAATAGGAAAAGCTGATAAACCAAACCAGAGATCCTCTAATGAGCTTTCCTCCCTTCTTCCACTACTGAAGAAAACCTCAATTTCCACAAAATTGATTTTTGGATGATATCATGATTCTGTATAGTTATTTACCTAGATATTTAACACTCCAGCTAAAGTCYGCATTTCTTTCTCCCACAGGGCACCTTCAGTCTCCTTAGGAAAGGAGGAGTACAAGCTTATGTCCACTGCACACACAGTGTTAGTTTAGGGCAGAAATAAACTGAAGTTTCACAACTTGACCTTTCACTGAAGAATCTGTATGAGGATGTTGGGCAATCTGTCATTCAGTGACATTACATGCATTTGTCAATTTGTCTTGTTTAAGTACTACAAATGAGAGAAAGAAAGCCATTTACTAGGTCAAAAACTAGTCATGAAGTTCACTCTCCCTCTTCTCTGTATTTACTATAAACAGAGCAAATTTTGAATTTATTTAGAATTTGAAAACTTTTTGGTGAATGGTGATGCAGAACTGTATAGGGAGAATAGGGAAGTAGTTTCTTAGGGTACCATCAAAATGCAGAAAAAATAGGAAGATTGCAGCATAGAAGCAAGGAAACCAAAATATTCTCATACAAACTGAAGCACAACATAAAAAGCAACATCTGGGCATGAYGTTTCAAGTTAAAAAAGAACATTTTGTGGTGTGTCGTATCACATGGATGATACATGGGGATCACATCTAAATTTGCAAGCTTCTAGTAATCACCTGATAGAAAAGAAGGTAGTTTAAAAAAAACCACCCCCAACTGGGAACAGTTGTTGATTTGGTAAGCAGTGTTAAATACAATTGCATGCTGCGTAAGACTACAAAAGAATATCAACCCTTAAATCAAATATATACATTTTTAATATCTGAAATATTTACACAGTGGAACCTTTACACGATCCCATTTGTTAAGAACAGTGTTTTAAGTGTCCTCTCCAGATACAAAGAACTAGTAACTCAAGGTCACAGTTATGTTTTCTGAACAGGTCAACCTGTATCCTTCAGTTAAATACAATATAGAGATACTGGAACACCTTTACTTAATTGGTTTGCTATTAAGAATTGTGTTTTAAAAATTAAAAATAATTTTGAGACAGTTTGCTCCCTGGAACAGTCCTCCTGCAATCAAAACAGCTCACAGCACATTATAGATTTGACTTCTTACCCAGGTATGAGATAAAAAAAATGCAGTTTACAGTACATGTCATCATTTATACCATATCAGCCTATTTATAAAAAAAATACAAACAAGGCAGGAAAATATTACCCTCTTTTTGTGGACAAAAGACTGCGTACAGTAGAAAACAAAAGTCAGGGCTAGTTTAACAGTATGGATAAAAACAAGATTTCAAGTTTGTTTGAAAACTTATGGTTTAGTTTTCATGTTTTGTTTAAGAGACACATCCAAACAAGGTTTTCTGTTTTGTTTCTAAACACAAAAAAGAAGTTTTAAAAAATAATTTATTTTAAAAAAACACGTCTTATTATTTTGGAGACACAAGGAATAGTAGTGAAGGGCCGAAGTGCAACTGAGCAGAAGAAAAAAACCAAAACCCATTAGATGGCACTTACTGAATTTAGGTCCTGCTCTTGTTTTAATTGAACAAATAAAAAACTTCCTGTGATTTGCACTTTCTGGGAAAGAAGCAGAGCATCTGCAAGAGATTAACTTCCCAGCTTCATTAATAATTCTTAATGGGCAATGAAGTACCAAGACTACTACTGGCTCACATCAGAATGAGAAGTTTGAAGGAACTCCTTTTCCAGTCAGATGAAGAGATCAAATGAACACACAAAGCTGTTCTGTGAAAACAGCTCAAGCCACTTATTCTTARATCATATTTTGATAATTCCTTAAATAAAAAAAAGGGAAAGTATGCCCCCCAAAAAACACTGATAAACTTGCAGTAAAATCCTTTGTCTTCATCTGTAACTGATATAGTTCCACATTAAGTGCAAATGTTTTGCAAAACAGGGTTGTTTTTTTTTTTAATATTTACAAGAATTAGAGTAACATAACAAAATTACCAAAGAGCATGTACAGTAGCTGCAGCTTATAAAACATACCGGTAATTGTACCTCGTGTATTATAAAGAGAACCAATGCAGGATTCAATAACTAATTGACAAGGGTAAAAGGGGCCTCAGATCAGAGGACAAAAAAATTCACATTTTCTACATAAAAAAATACAGGTCTCAAGTCTCTGAGAACAGAGAGAATTCAAAGTCTCTGAACAATGGGGGAAAAAAAAGCCCAAAATTGAAATGGAACCCTAGAAGCAAGGAGAGTGCTTTATTTCACTAAGCCAATCTTCTTTGCTTCTGTCTCGTATATCAACAACCTCCACATTTTGACTATGAAAACTTCAGCTTCTTCATCTAGTACCTGTGGGAAACAAGTATTTTATAGATTATTTTTTAGGTTATGCATTCCAKTTATAAAGACTAACTGTACATACATCACAACTACAAAGTGGATGCAGCATAATACAAGTCTCTGAGGGAGGGGCCAAAAAAACCTCTGGTCAGTTTGTCCGACATTTATCAACGACTTGACCAGGGGTTCTAAACACATACTTGTATGGTGCAGCTGTTGAGCACTTAGGAGGTAAAAATATCAGTAAATTAGTATTCAGAAGTGGTTTGGGAAGAGGCAGAGAAATGGCAGGCTTGGAAAGAATGTAACAGGACATTTACATACGTTATTTTCCCTGTAATTATCTCCTAATATCTGCTCATTTGCTTGGGTATTTATTAGGTAAACTCTCAATGGATTTCTCTTCCCTGAACTTATGATCTAGGCTTTTCTTGAGTCCGTACAA